CAGAAACGAGCCCACAGGCATCACAGACAACCCCAGTCAGAAGGCTCTGGTCCGAGGGGCGGGGGGTCCTGACCCTCCTGGCGGGCAGGGGAGCTTCCTGGGGGGCTGGCCCACACCGCTCTGGAGCTGCTGTCACCTCCGCACTTTGATCCTCCGATTCCAAGGCCCACGTTTCTTTTACTTAAGCCATGGAAGCAGACCTCCAGCATCCAGACAGGAGAGGAAGAAGAAACACTACCCCTGTTTCCAGACGACACGATCTCATGGGTGGAAAACCCTAAGAAGCCACTAAAAACCATCAGAACTAATGGATGAGTTCAACAGGGCTGCAGATATAAGATCAACACAGAGGGGCGGCCCCGTGGCCAAGTGGTTAAGTTCGTGCACTCCTCTTACACAGCCTGAGGGTTCACCAGTTCGGATCCTGGGCGCCGCCACGGCACCACTTGTCAGGCCACACTGAGGCGGGGCCCACATAGCAGCCAGAGGGACCTACAACTAGGATGTACAACCATGTCCTGGGGCTTTGAGGAGAAAAAAAAAAGAAGAGGAAGATTGGCAACAGATGTGAGCGCACAGCCAGACTTCCTCACCAAAAAAAAAAAAGCATACTTTAAAAAAAAATCCCATTAAAAAAAAAAGATCAACATAGAAAAATCAATTGTATTTTTATAACTTGCAGTGAACAATCCAAAAATGAAGTTAAGAAAACAATTCTATTCACAATAGCCTCAAAAAGAATAAAATACTTAAGAACAAATTTAACAAAAGAAGTGCCAAACTTAGACTCTTAAAATAACAAAACATTGTTGAAAGAAATGAAAGAAGGCTTTAAAAAGTGGAAAAGTATCCCATGGTCATGGGTCAAGATACTTAACGTTGTTAAGATGGCAGCACTCCCTAAACGGATCTGAGGATTCGGCACCGTCTCTATCAGAAGCCCAGCTGACGTCTTTGTAGAAATCGATGAGCTGATTCTAAAACTTACATTGAATCGCAAGGAAACAGAATAACCAAAACAATCCTGAAAAAGAGGGACACAGTAGAAGGACTCGTGTCCAGATTTCAAACTTACTACAAAGCAACAGTAAGCAAGACGGCATGTTCGGGCACAAAGACAGACTCATAGATCAACAGAACAGGATTGAGAATCCAAACATAAACACACACACCCACAGCCGAGTGATTATCAGGAAGGGCGTCAAGGCCACTCACGGGGGTAGGACAGGCTTTTCCCCAAATTTTGCTGGACAACCGAGTAGCCACATGAAAGGATCGAATGTGGACCCCTACCTCACACTGTATACAGAAATTAACTCAAAACAGACCAAAGACTTAAATGTGACAAAACTCTGAGAAAACGTAGGGGCAAATCTTCATGACCTTGGAATTGGTGTGGAATTCTTGGAAATGGCACCAAAGTCACAAGCAACAAAATAAAACATAGACAAATTGGGCTTCGTCAAAACTGAAAACTTTTGTTCCACAAGGACACCATCGAAAGGGTGAAAAGACAACGCACAGAATGGGAGAAAGGATTGGTAAATCACGTGTCTGCTAAGGACTTGCATCTAGAATACATAAAGGATTCTGACAACTCAACAACAAAAAAAGTCACTCAATTTAAAAATAGGCAGGCGGCTGGCCTGGTGGTGCAGTGGTTAAGTGCGTACGTTCCACTTTGGTGGCCTGGGGTTTGCTGGTTTGAATCCCGGGTGCAGACATGGCACCGCTTGGTAAGCCACACTGTGGTAGGCGTCCCACATATAAAGTAGAGGAAGATGGGCACTGATGTTAGCTCAGGGCCAGTCTTCCTCAGCAAAAAGAGGAGGATTGGCAGCAGTTAGCTCAGGGCTAATCTTCCTAAAAAAAAAAAAAGGGCAAAGGATTCGAATGGACATTTCTCCAAAAAAAGATACACCAAAGGCCAGTTAGCACGAGTCCTCCACATCATTAGTTGACAAGGAAATACAAATCAAACCCACAAGGAGACACCACTCCACACCCACAAGGATGGCCAAATAAAAACACAGACGACAACAAGAGTCAGCGAGGATGTGGAGAAGCTGGAGCCCTCACCACTGCTGGTGGGAATGTAAAATGGAGCGGCCACTTTGAAAACAGTCTGACAATCCTCAAACGATTAAACGTGGTTACACATGACCCAGCGCCTCCACTCCTGGATACCTACCTTAGAGCAACGACAACACGTCCACAGAAACTTGGACCCAGACGTTCAGAGCAGCAGCATCGCAACAGCCAAAAGTGGTGACAGCTCTAACGCCATCGGCTGACGAAGGATGAACACCCACACGACGGAAGCTGCTCAGCCGTAAGAAGGAATGAAGCACTGACACACGCTATGACCTGGACGAACCTTGAAAGCATCGGCTCAGTGCAAGAAGCCAGACACAAAGGACCCCGTGGTGTGTGAGTCTATTCAAGTGAGAGTCCCGCATAGGGGTCCACAGACAGAAGCAGATGAAGCTGCCTGGGGCTGGAGGTGGGGACAGAGGGCTGACAGCTGCCAGGTACAGGCTTCCCATCAAGGCAGGGAAAATGTCCTGAATGGTTGCTCCTGTCTATGGATATACTAAAATCCATTGAGTTCTACACATTAAACAGTGAGTTATATGGTATGTGGATTATATCTCAGCACAGGTGTTTAAAAAGGGGGAAAGAAACAGGCATCCCAGGACCGGATCAGGTCCACAGTTCCCAAGACTGCGCAGCCCATGTGCCACCCGGCACACGGCCGCACCCCCGGCTTCCCACCGGCCTGCCCTTTGGGGAAATCATGTAGACAAGCTCTCGGGAGCCCCTCAAGCTGTGGCCTAAGGTGCTGAGCGCCACCTCGGGCAGGGCCCGCAACCCTCCTGGAAGGCAGGAGCACGTGGGATCCCTCGGTGGGGTGCACAGGGACGCCCGGTGACAGCTAGGCAGGGGGGCAGGAGCACGGGGGCCAGACAGGACCGGGGAGCGAGAGGGAGCGGGAGCCGCAGGAACGTCCCTCCACGGCGCGGTTCCAGCTGCTCCTCCACCAACAGGGAGCCCCTCCCTCCAACACCAGCTTTTCCTGAGGAAACAGGTTCAGCTCTCACACCTCAGTGCAGCGTCAAACCTCCTGTCTCTCCGGGTAGTTACACTGCAGTGCGTTTAAGCGTGGAAGGGCCAGGCCCTGTGCTGTAGCGGTTAAGATCCGGCGCTCTCACGGCTGCAGCCCAGGTCCTTTCCTGGTGACCCACACCACCGTCTGTCATTGTCACACTGTGGCGGCTGCGTGTGGCTGTGATGCTGAGAGCTCTGCCACCGGGATTTCGGATACCAGCGGGGTCACCCCTGGGAGACGGGTTTCAGCGGAGTTTCCAGAACAAGACAGACCAGGAAGGAGGACCTGGCCACCCACTTCTGGAAAAATGGGCCACAAACCCCTGTGCAGAGCAGCGGAGTGTCATCTGACGGGGCACAGGAAGGCGGGGGATGGCGCAGACAGACCTGGCCGAGGTTCCTCTGCTGCCCACGGGGCACTAGGAGGCGGAATCGACTCCACGGCACTGATAAAAGACATGGAAGGAAATGCGTGTCCCCAGTGAAGATTCTTCAGCACCACGCAAGTGATCAGCGCACAGAATCAGCCTTGCGGGGATGTGTGAAGGCCCCGCGGCAGACACAGGAGCGAGGGCTTCCATTCATTTTCAGCTCAGCCCCACTCACCTCCTTCCTGGAGGAGAGTCAATGGGGGGGGGGGGGGGGCGGGGCTCCCAGGGCCCGAGACGGTGCCCTCCCAGGCCCCTCTTTCCTGTGATCCAGGCAAAGCCGAGAAGGATAAGCCGGGTGGGACCCAGAGGAAAAGCCCAGAGCCAGCCCACCTCTGCGCTGCCAGGAGACTCGAGGAGGGAAAGACGCCCCACTGCCTCCCAATATTTAGGGCAAAACACTTCTTTCCACCCGAATCCCAGTCTCTTTGACTATCCCCCTTCCCCAGCCCCAGGGCCCTCCCACCCTCTCAGCCGCTCCTCTGCCCAGGGGTCCATTCTCTCATCCCACGTGGGTTATGACGAGACACCATGGCCGAGCCGTCTGACCGTCCTGTCAGCCAGGGAACGGGGACACATGGGGTGATGGGTCCCATCACTGTCTCACACACCCATGATGGCCCAGGGCAGGCCACATTGAACGTGGTGAGACAACAGGACGACAGCCAGTGCAGGGGCCGTGAAAACGCCAGCACAGTCTGACACAGTAATTTGGGGATGAGACAGAAACGGCCACACGGCCCAACCCGCATCCCCCTGAACACCACTCTCAAAACTCAACACTGGCTGTCCAGTGAATTGGCAAAATTAACTATTATTCTTACAGCTCTCTTCCCAAAAGCAGTGCGCCAACAAACAGGTTCCCAGTTGAGGTGATCAATAAAGACATCGGGTTTGCGAAATGGACCTAGTTGCCGTTCATACACAAGCAAGCGTTCACGGACAGGCGGCATCCAGAGTCCACTCCACAGAGACCGTCTGAGCCACGGTTCCTCCCGCTTTCCATTCACCACTTCCCCCCGTCTGGGGAAGCCCACACACCACCTTATCCCAAAGGGAAGGGCAGACGCTGGGACTGTCGACTCAAAAGGAGAGATGCTCATTCACATGTGTCTCTCTGAACTTTACACACCATGAGTTAATTTAATCTGCCAACCACCCCAGCCCACCCCACACCCTGAACTTCCCGTGCCACAACCTGAGCTGCTGGGACCACAGTATGAGGTTATAGATGTACCCTACAACTCTAGCAGTGCCACTCAGACTAAGATGTGAACGGCACCCACTAAGCCCTGAGTCCAGGGTTGCACAGTGCACAGCCTGGGGCACCTTGGTGCTGATCCCGTAGGCTGCCAGATTGAGGTGGGGGCTCTCCCAGGAACACCAGCTACAGCCGGAACATCCTCTGTTGAGGGCAACACTCCCCACCACTCCACGCTTGAAAGACACACTGTGTGTTCTTACCATTTGCCGTCTATTCTCCACCAGGTTGATGCCAATCATTCCCAAGAACGATCCGAAGCCGAGCTAACACCAGAGAGAAAACAAGGGAGAAAGCACTCGGTTAGCACGGCTGGCGGCTGACCCGCCACAGTAAACAATGTGTGGGAGCTTCCTACCCCAAACACCTTCTCACGGGCGAGGCTGCCATTCCCACTGCGCAAGGGTGACCGCTAAGTGGCAGCCAGGACCTCGCCTGGCAGGGTGGCTTCTTGGCTTCATCAGAGCCGCAGCTGGAACAGAAGCCGCTGAAATACGACCCATCTCCTCTCTGTGTCCACACTTTAACTCTCACGTCGGTTTTACTCTGGTTACAGGAAAATCGAGTCCAGGTGCCCCCTCCCCGGCATGGAGGACAACATCCTCACAGTAAGTCGACCACTCAGGGCCCCTCTCTTGTGTCTGCTCCTCAGGTGTGAGGCCCCCCGATCGCTCCCCAGGCCTGTCTGCAGGCCCAGCGTCAGAGAACGACTCCTCAGGTAAGACCCTGGGAAAGTGGAAGTGAAGACATTTCAGAAGAGCTGCCCGTCACCCCCGGACTCACTGGCCCGCTCGAGGACGGCGCTCGGCTCAGGTGGGCAGGCAGACAGGCAGCCTGGGGCTCCTGAGAATCAGTCCTCTTGCTCCTCGAGAGCCGGAGCTCCTGGCCCCCAGGAGGAAGCGATGCGATGCGGGAAGCGGGTTCCTCCTGAGACCGGCTCTCTCCCGTGTCTCCAGGTTGGCGCGGGGTCTCCGCAGAGCGACTTCCGTCCACATTTCTCTAGTGGATTCACGCTGCATCCACAGCTCCTCTCAGAGCCGCCCGGGCTGCACTCACTCCATCAGGCGTCGCCCGGAACCAGCGTCCTCACCGAGCTGGGTGCTGACAGCATCAGGAGGGTCTGAATACGATCTCGAGATGAAACCCCGAGTGAGTGGAGCTTAAGAACAAGCAAAAAAACTACCACTCGAGACGCATCTTGATCCTTTGAGGTAATTTCGGGGACGTGTCCCCAGCCACCAGCTCCCCAAATTCCAGGCTCCCTTCCCGTACAGGACACACGGCAGAAAAGCGGGGTCCTCGACGTGAGGTTCCACTGGTGAAACTTTCTGCATAGACACTATCTATGTATGTTTACTCGTGAATTATATACTGGTAGGTAATGCAGATTTATAAAGCACAGACAGAAGACAAAATAAAAGATAATATGAAGATGAAATGAAAAATATTTGTAAAATATTTATAAATATTGAGTGCCAAAACCTTTTTCGTCCTTGCTAAAAATGTTATCAACATCATTACTAGTCTTGATAACACTCTTAGTGGGAGTAATTGATTAAATAAGCTTCATTTTTGAAAAAAATCTTGGTTTAGCTCTTCATGACACAGCAACTCAGGGTTCGGTGCATTTTAAGGGCATTGTAGCTGATCAAAGGCAATTTCACAGACTCTCCCTGTGTGCAAAGTGGACACCGGAGCAGACGTTATTGCTGACAACAGTGAACGTGAATTCATACGTCAAAAAGTCTTCTAGATAATTCTGGATTTGGGTGACTGCTTCTCGCCAGGTCAAATGAGCTGTCATGGATTTAGCAGGTGGCACCGCTGTCCAGAATCTGGAATCAGGAGTGGCTCAGGCCGGCCCCTGCCATCCTACACAACCACATTACAAACGCCATCGTCCATCAAGCTCGGCGGCAGGCGGCTCGTAAAGCCACACGTCCGTTTCCCGAGGGTCAGTCTGGTCAGCTCGGTCCCACGGGGCTAAAGCCCAGGTATGGAGCACTGGTTCCCTCGGAGGCTGGGGGAGGATGTAGGCTGGGCCTTTCCCGCATCCAAGGGGCCGCACCCCTTGGCTCTGGGCCCTTCCTCCACCGTCGACACCTCTCCCATCAAGGCTCGACCCCTCCCTGCCCCCTCCTCCACAGGTAAGGACCCTGTGCTCACACTGGGCCACCTGGATGGTGCGGGATGACCACCACGCCCTCCTGAGGCCGACTGGCAACGCTCAGCCCCTTTTTGGTGCAGCCCACCCCATTCACGAGTCCCATGGAGTAGGGCACGGACGCCTTTGGGGTCACTACTCTGCTGCCCACAACCACCAATGCAAGTTTCCAGGACCCAGAGCCCAGCTCCGTGGGGCTGGAGCTGTGTCACCACCACACAGCACTCTGTGGAGCCCGCCCCCTGCCCCGCAGACCCCGGGGACACGGGACTCACGATGATTCCTGGGTAGTAGCCCCCCGCGGTCACGTTCTCCGTCCTGGTGGTGGCGGCGAGGCCGATGGTCAGGATGAGGACGGACACCACCAACAGAGACCCCACAAACCAAAGGGAAGTCTTCTTTCTTCTCGCAAACGCTTCTGGGAGGAGGGCAGACGGGGCACCGTTAGTCAGGGGACGGGCTCAGAGAGGGTGTCCCATGTGACGCACCGAGGGTCAGCTCTTCCCTCTGAGCTCTGGGAGGTCTCGCCGCTGCCACATCCCGGGAGCCTGGGACCAGCCCGCTGCTCCCTCCTGCACCAGGGCCCCCTCGGGTGCCCCGAACCAGCCTCTGGAAGCCCCCGACCCCCACGCCCACGACCTCTTTCTTTTCGGCCGCCCCGGTTCTCAGAGCAGGGTCTGGGAGGCACCCTTGCCGCCCCTCGGGCCTCACAGGGTCTCTGCCGGGCCCTTGACGCCACGTCCCGAACAGCACTGACCCTGCATGTCTCACCTGCACAGCTGCCCGCGTCCGCGCTCCCTGTACCTGCCCGGGGCAGACGCGGGAGCCCTGCCCCTGCCGCCCCCACTGCCCAGAGGGGCCGGGGCCTGGCCACTCTCACCACACGACACTCCCCAACATCATCCCCCGAAGATGAGCCCACGAGGGCAGCTGGGGTCTGTCCTGCTCCCCGCTCCTGCCACCCCCACTCCCAGAGGGGCCGGGGCCTGCCCACTCTCACCACTTGACACTCCCCGACATCATTCACTGACGATGAGCCCATGAGGGCGGCTGGGGTCTGTCCTGCTCCCGCACCTGATGCTGCCCACACAGTTGGTTCACCACAGACACCAGCTCCCTTCCAGCGCCCTCCCCCTCCCCAGGCCGCAGGGCCTGAAGGCCTTCACCCTGGCAGGCAACCCCATGGCCAATTCAGGCCGACCCCTTCCTGAGCATCTGCCCAGCCGGCTGCCACTCCAAGCGCCTCGCCTGGGCCCCGGCCGAGTCCCGAGCCTGGACACCAGCCCGTTCTGAGGCTGGAGCAAGACCTCCAGCTCAGCCTGACCAGGCCCAGAGCAGTCGCGTCCCTCCAGGCAGCCAGCACCTGGCGTGCTCTGCCCCATGAATGTGGCCTGCGGCCTGTCCACACACAGCTGTCACCCCGGGGGCCCAGAGGGCGCCTCGTCTTCCATCTCCGGCGTCTAGCTCAGCCCAAAGGGTGAAGGATTGAACGGGGAGGGGGCAGAAAGAAAGCAGGAAGTGTGCTGGAGGCCACCATAGCCCCCAGGCGTGCCCTTCCCTCTGCCCTGTGAACAGGCCCCTGTATGTGATGTGGAGGTGTGCCCAGCCAAGCATGGCATTGTCCAGCCTCTGTTCCAGCTGCGTGATTACTTATCCATCCAAGCAAAGGACAGTGGGCAGGACCTATGGGAAGTCTTCTAAAGGAGCTGTCCCCTTGCCTTTCTCTCTTCATTCTTCCTGTTGCCTGGAACATGGACAGAAAGCAGGGCCCCAGCAGCTGTTCTGGACCATGAGGGATCCTTGAGAATGGAAGCCACAGGCAGAATGACAGAGCAGAAAGGCAGCCCTGCTCACCCACCTCCACACTGATGAGGTAACAGGATAAACCTCTGGGTTCTAAGCCACTACTCTGGATGTCCGGGAATCCACAGCCAAACCCAATTCTAACTGCGGCGGAGCTCAAGGAAGACGCAGGAAAGGGGAGCTTCCCATCGCCCGCGTTTCCTCCCTCAGGTCTCGACCTCTGGGTGTGCACTGACCTACTTCCCGCCCCACAGCGTGTCTGGGGAAGGCAGGGCAGCCTCTCGAAGACAGCCATTCGCTCTCAGACACACCAGCCCCGACCTGTCACCAGCAAGTGCACGCGGAGGCAGACAGCGGAGGGCAGGACGAGGGCCTCCACGCCGAGCCAGCCGGGCTGCTGGGTCTTGTTTGGGAAGCTTAACCCTCTTGGTTCCCATGAGTCCAAAGCAAAACGGGAGACGAAAGGGAAACACGGTGCTTCTTCCTATGCCAACGTGTCTAAAATCCACAGAGCGTGTGTGTGAGTGAGTGTCTGTGTATCTTTGTGAGTGTGAGTGTGTCTGTGCAAGTGTGTATCTGTGTGTGTCTGTGAGTGTGTGAGAGTGAGAGTGTGAGTTTGCGAGTGTGTCTGTGTGTGAGTGTGTGTCTGGGTGTGTAACAGGGAGGCAGCGCACATTTGATCACAACGCTGGCGCAGTGGCCTCCTGACTCAGGGCAGGCAGAATTTTCACGCTCCAGGAGGCCTGCGCCTGTAGACTCGCACTTCTGCCGTCCCATCGCAAAGCTTGATGGCCAGTCAAGGGCACAACCCCAAGAACGGGATTGTCACACCCTCAGAAATAAGTGACACAAAACCACAAATCAGGTGCAAACTCAGAAGGACTGGCTGACGTGAGGACGCGGTTCTTACCCAGTGACGTCAGGGACGTGGTCTCAGGAAGGACGCTTCATCCGGAGGCCAAAAGAACACCGACAGGCCCGCTCTCCTTCCCCGGCACCTCCAGCTCCTCGGAGGACCCTCTCGGAGAATCTCGTCCTAAAGCAACTGTGACCCTCACCCTGGAGGACGAGATCAACTCACTCTCGAAGATCATAAGCCACTGGCTCCGACCAGCAGCCGACCGTCTTGGTTACGCGCCCCTCTCTGCCTCCCTAAAAAGGAGGTGTATTTCAGGGTCCGCAGGGGCGGTTCTCCTGCCTGCCCCCGGTGCCCCGGGAGGCGGCGCTGTGGCTGGCTTCGAGAGGGATGGTGGCGCTCTGGGTTTTCCTGACTCCTGCAGCAGGAGGAGCGGCTGCCGTGTCGACAGCAAACTAGAGGTACGAGGATGGACCGAACACAACCCGCTCCGAAGGCTCACGCCTGAGGACGGAGCAGCCTGGCAGCCCAGCCACACGGGGAAGAGCAAGGAGGCCACTGGCCGTGGGCAGGACACCCGCGGCAAGAGCAGAGGCAAAGCCAGGCCCCCAGGCCCCTCGCGGCCCTTGCTGCAAAGGGCCACCCCAGCCCAATAACCAAGTCATGTGGCTGCAGCCCCAGGGGCCGGCCACCTGCCACCCACCGAGGAGCACATCCCGCATTTACGCCTCATGGACATGCCCTGGTGGTGGGCTCCGAGTCCCACCGCTGTAGCTTCTGCAGAATAGGCGTTGAGGGGCTGAGCAACGAGTGGACCCAAGAGAGGACCCGAGAGTGGACGCACGAGTGGACAGAGCACAGGAGCATAGAGACAGCACTGACTGCCCATGACCACGCCAGAGGCCACGTGGCTCAGACGTGGTTCTGCACCATCTCCTGATGTTTCTAAACTCAGCACATGTTCTCCAGTGACCCTTCCCACCCACGTCCAGCCACACACCAGCCACCCCGCAGCCCACAGCTCTGTCCTGAGGGCACTGGCCGAATGCTAACCTGTGTGGCCCCATGCCCAGGCCACCGTCAGGCCATCACCTCCCTTCCTGCTGTAGTGTCCAGACGGTGGGGAAGCCCCACTCGAGGGGAGTCCCACCGGGGGATCCGAGAGGTGCCCAGATCGATTAACGATGTCTGCCCTGGGCGTGGAGGAGCAGCGGCACATGTGCCAGCCCCCAAGAAAACGACCCTGAGCCCCTCCAGCCCAGCATCCTCAGATCACCTCCCGTCTGCGTCCCCTCCTTGGCCGCAGCTCCTCCTCCCGCCCACACCTGACCCTCAGCTGCCCCAGGGTCTCTCCTCCCACTCCGCTCGCCGGACTTCTGAACTCAAACCAACCTGGGCCGGGCCCTGGAGTGTGACCCAGGTGATGAAGGCATTTTTACAGGGAAAAAGAAGACTGTAAGTTTTATGTTAAAAATGTGTGATTCTTATTCTGCTCATAAAAGCAATAGTTACTTTTTGTAGAACATCTATAAACTACAGAAAAATACAAAAGAAAAAATAAAGTTCACAGTAATCGCATCACCCAAAATTGGCAGGTGGGCCTACAACCACGACATCTTTTTACAATGCACTTATCTACTTTTTAAAGCATTTTTTCCTAAATTGGGACAGACGTGTTTTTAAATCTTTTAAAATTTTTGTTCACTTAATATACTCTAAGAATTTTTCCGAACACAAGACAGAGGGATGAACAGGTCGGGCAGAGGAGATTTTCAGGGCAGAGAACAACTCTGTCTGACACTGTGATGACGGATACGGGATGTTACACATTTGTCCAAACCCACGAAACGTCCACCACCAAGGCGAGGCCTCGTGGAGCCACGGGCTCTGGGGGTGACGTGTCAGTAGAGGTTCGTGGAGCACCACACAGGCTGACGGCTGGGGCTGGGGGGGAGGCTGTGCCTGGGGGGCAGAGGGTCGATGGGAATCTCTGTATTTCCCCCCTCGATTTTGCTGTGAACCTAACATTGCTCTGAAAAATAAAGTCTATATATGTATTTAAAACCACCATGTTATAAACTTTGTATATAAATCTTTCTATCACCTCTCGCTTATTCTTTAGGATAAATTTCTATAAGTGGAATTTCAGGGCAAAAGGGCAAAATTTTTTTTTTTTTTTTGAGGAAGATTAGCCCTGAGGTAACTACTGCCAATCCTCCTCTTTGTGCTGAGGAAGACTGTCCCTGAGCTAACATCCTTGCCCATCTTCCTCTACTTTATACGTTGGACACCTACCACAGCATGGCATGCCAAATGGTGCCATGTCCACACCCGGGATCCAAACTGGTGAACTCCGGGCTGCCGAAGTGGAATGTGCAAACTTAACTGCTGTGCCACTGGGCCAGCCCCTGGGCAAAATATTTTTAAGGAGAAAGTAAAAGTTTTGGAGTGCAAATTTAATCTCACAAAACAGAAGATAAACCCACAGGCCTCGTACACGCTTTGGAAACAGTTCTCAGAAGTCCCACAGCTTCTTCACCTACAGGCAGGAGAAGTAAGCATGGCTCCATCTGGTTGCTTTAAATTGCTCTCTTAATTTCTATTTTCTAGTATTTTTTTATTACAAATATATAAGAATTGTTGAGGGTGAACCATTTGTAGGAGTGTCTACAGGAAAAAGCCCAAGTGCAAGCAGACAATTGATCCCTCAGGACACGGGGCATTTGCACGTGCTCTGGGAGCTCCCGTAGCGGGCTTTCCCCTCCTTCACTATTACATCTCACTTGCAAAGAAGTGCACGCACAGAGACAGCAACGACTCTTCTTTCTTGCATTTGTTTGAAGCCTGAAACCAAGGACATATGTACAAGGTGCTCTGCCCAGGATTCAGAAGATCAGCGGTTATGGGGATGGTGGCAGCAGAGCTGGGACATCTGTGGGGAATTAGGGCACTGAAATGGCAACGCCACCCTGGGAACAAAGAGCAGCCTCCCACGGCAGAAATTCTGCTCTGGTCGATTGACTTTAGAAAGGTAGGTGCATTGAAAAAAAAAAACAGACCCAAAAGTTAGAAATGTCTTCTGGCGGCTGACCTGGTGGTGCAGTGGTTAAGTTCGCACACTCCACTTCCGCAGCCCGGGGTTGGCAGGTTCAGATCCTGGGTGCAGACCTAACACTGCTTGTCAAGCCACGCTGTGGCGGTGACCCACATAAAATAGAGGAAGATGGACACAGATGTTAGCTCAGTGACAATCTTCTGCACAAAAAATATATTTGTATATGTCTATATATATCTTCTACATTTTGGAAGTTAATGAAACCATTGTTGTGGAAGTTCATGAAACAATCACATTAATGGTGACAACACCTCTAGTAGTGGGGTAGCAACTGTAGCTTGTTTCAGAGCCGTCCAGCTCCCCGGCTCATTCAGTCGGGACCGGAGGATGGGTCTCCCCACCTCTGACCGCCCTGGCCCGCCTCCACACACCTGCCAAAGAAGCCGAACACGTAAGAATTGTCGAGGGTGAACTAGCTGCTTTTGATCAGTGCAATTTCCTCTCTTCTTCCTTGCCTGTTTTTTTTTTTCCCTTAGGTTCCCATTCCTATCTTTTGAGGGTTAAAATGTGTTTTAAGAACAATAAGCCTCCTAAAACTAAATTTTATGGGACTAAGTATTTGAGAAAATTATCAGACAAATGCCCTCCTCCTCAGAGGGTTTTGTTCTGCTATTTTTCCTATTTTAATGCATTGCACGTCTATTATGCTCAAAATAACCAGCCAGATGCCTCAGCATCTGTTTCAAAGTGCTTACGACTTCCAGGGCCCTGTCTGGGCTCAAGTGGGCTGTCTGGACCGTATCCTGCTCCCTAAGGCTCTCAACTCTGTTCCGCTTCGTCCCTTCAGGGACGCTGGCGTGGTGAATGGGGATCTGAGTGGATCCACCAGGCTGACAGCGCTTGGTCAGCCCTTGCCCCATCCGTTAGTGACATTCTGACAGGCCTGCCACGGAGTGAAAAGTTAAACGCATCCCCTGTGGGGTCACGTAAATCTTCCCATGAACCGTTTTCGAGGTAACTTTGCCACTCCACCACTTTCCCCTGAAACTGCTACATGGTAAAAGCAGAAAGTGCGAGCTGCCCCTTCTGTCAGCGTTTCTGTGGGAGGTTCCGAGGTTGACATGGGGTCCAGAAAGACAGCCAGCGATTCGCACGGGACGCTGGGAGGGACGGGTCTGCACAAGCTCATTCTACTGACGCAGACTGTCCTGTTTTGACTCCAGGTACGACAGAAGCGACAAAAAGAAGAATCCTGATCTTAAATACTCTATAAATATAGGATATTGCATAAAAATAAGAAAACAAGAAACAAACTCAAGAAAAGAAGGTATGGCACCTTTATAATCACCACAAGACACACGCATTTGCAGACCAGGTGTTGGAGGGATCCAGTTCCGCGTTGGAGGCGGATGCCTAGAACCACCCAACTGTCCCTCCACCCTATCCCGTTAGCAGGAAGATTCTCACATGCGTTGTTACAACTGAAGCGCTCTTAAGACAGTGCCCTGACTGTCAACTAAAATATCTACTCTTAGGGTTATAGTCTTGGGACAGCTACACAGACTGCACCCACACTGTTTTGGGCCTCCCCAGGCCTGCTGTGTGATCTTGGGCAGCCATCCATCCTCTCTGAGCCCAGCAGAAGAGGACCTGTGAGAGCAGGGGCTGTATCTGTCTTGTTTGCCACTCGATCCCCGTGCCCAGCTCAAACCAGGAGACAGAGACATCTCCTGGTGTTGAGTGAATGAATGAACTTCAGTTTCCTGATCTGTAAAGTGGGGCTGACAACCACCCGCTCCACCCACCTCCTAACTGTGGTGAGAGAATACACACGGAAGCTCTGTACACGTTTCTACGGGCGTGACAGATTAATCACAGCGGTGACAGCGTTAAGGTCGCGTGGCAGTTATTCCGACCCGTGTTTCTCCACCCCAGAAACTGAGGGAGATGTTCTGAGGTGTGGAGCTCCCGTGTCCTGCTCGCTGCTTTTCCCACGTCCAGGCTGTCCCAGGTGCATCCTTCCTAGAACGTCTCAGACAGTCTCCTCGGCACCCCGCTGGGCGCCTGCAGCCCTCCTGCCCCGGCCCCCAGCCCCGGCCGTGGCAGGAGCAGCTGAACCACAGCTCCCGTGGGACCTGGTCACGTTGAGGAAGTGCAAGGACGGGAGCGGATTCTGGTGCTGACCATCAGCACTCCCTCCAGTCAGTAGAGCAAGGAGGGGGGTGTCACCGAGACGGGGTTGGCACTAGGAAGGTGGTCGCCCTGGCAGCAGGGCTGGAGCCCCAGAAAGAAGAATGAGCTGATAGAGTCACATGTGGACACCCCGTCAGGGAGGCACAGCGGCCGTCAGGGAAATACGCCACGCAGAGCAGCACGCCCCTCGGCCATCCAGTCCCCTTTTCTCTGATTTTAATGGAACACTTGCCCAAGGTGGTAACCACAGAAATGCAAGAAAAAAATGCCATAATCACACCCCAGCTAATTTTAGTATTTTTAAATAAGAGACTAACTCCTAGTATTATTTTAAATTTACAGTTCCTCATAAAAAGAAAAAACGAAGTCAAATGGTATCTTTTAACCATCAAGTGATTCTAATACAATAACTAGTTAACAACAACGAGTAATAACAACTAGCTGTGACTATTGTTACACGCAGGAAGTGTTTCACTTCCCGGAGGATGAAAACACGCATCACGTTTCATCACAGCCAACGACCGTGTCCTAGAGGGTTGGCACCGGGCAGCCCAGCGTGTGGCCCACTGTGCCATCGGGTTTGTGCCAGTTAATGCTGTGATGTTCGCACAGAGACGACACTGCCCAACGACGCACGTCTCTGAACGCAGCCCCGCGGTTAAGCGACACGACTGCACCAAGAGTGGTCACAGGGCTTTGCTTAGAGACCGGGGGAGCCGAACCATTTCTTTTAGGAAGAAGCCAGACTCCTGGGTTATTATTTAACAATCAAACATTACTAATCTGGGTTTTAAAAGAGACTTTCCAAAGTCAGTCCAGGCAGGGCTGTGGGGGCACCTGGTTTTCCAGGGGCCATGTGAAGCGGGCAGCAGGCCGAGGCCATCAGAGCCGCGCTCCCTGTCAGACCACTTTTTTCAAAACCCTCCCTGCCGGCTTCCCCTCAGGAAAACCCCCGGCACCGAGTCTGTCCGGCTCCAGACCCCCGGCGGTCGCGGGCTCCAGGCTGCACCTGGCTTGTCTGGAGAAACCAAGAATTCTGGAGTCCATGAATTTCGGGGGGCGGTCGGTGGGGAGGGCGCCTGGAGGGAGCCACCCTGTCACTTACAAGCAGGAGGACGTTACCCGGCTGTTGAAATGAACTTTTCCGAGAAATTTTTGGAGACTGAAATAGGGTGGAAGAGAGGGAAACGGGGGCGGTTTGGGTGGCGTCTGTCGTTCGAGAGGAAAGACAGCGGGAAAGAGGCGGAGAGCGGCGCCAAGTCCCATCCAGAAAAGGACCCGAGAGGGTGTGCGTGAGGGACTGAGCCCCAGCGGCCCGCGGGCGGACGCACCTGCGGGAGGATCGGGGCGCGGGATGCTGGGGGCTCACCTGTCGCGTCCCGCAGGGCCAGGGGTCCGGGCGCGGGCTGCATCCCGGCCACTCCTGGGGCGCTGCAGCGGCGGCTCCCGGCGACAGCGACGGTCGGTGCGATGCAACGGGGCTGAGAGGACCCGCCTGAGCCCCGCCCCCCTGAGCCCCGCCCCTTGTCTGCGCCTCCGGCCACGCCCTGTCTCCCTCCTCCCCCCCGATCCCCTCCTCCCGCTCCCCGTTTTCCTGGAAATCAGACCCCGGGGAAGGGAATGCATGTGCGTGGGCAGCAACGGAGCCAGACTAGGGTGGAACATACCTGGAAAGGTCCCTCTGGATTTCTGAGCTGCGCCCGCCGCCCGGTCACAGCTGGCCACAGGCCCAGGCGGTCAGGCGCCCCGAGGAGGGAAGCAGGGAGGCTGGCCTGGGGGTGACCTACGCGTGTCCTGGCGGCCGCGGAGTGGCTGTGGGTCCGTGTCCCCGCCTCGGGCAGGAGGCTCCTCGGGTGCAGTGCAGGTGCCTGTCTGTTCTCAGAGGGTCGCACAGCAGACACTCGGTTCCCTGCGGTGAATGGGTGGATGCTGCAGGCCCCCTCGCACCCCTGCAGTGTGGCTTCGGGAGCTGTCCTGCAGCCCCCACCCCCTCATTTTCATATCCACGGCCCTGAGGTTGTTCTGAGTGAAACCCGCAGGCGGGAAAGGAGGGGAAAGATGAGAGAAGCAGGTTACTGGGACAGAGTGCCTTGAGGCAGCAAGAAAAGACGGCTTTTAAGCGGCATTAATTCAGTTTTAAAATGGTTTTGAGTTAAAAGCATCAGCAGCACTTACAACAGAGGACAGGTGAACGACCAGTAAACGTGAGAAGACGCAGCCCCCAGTGCCAGGGCAGCGTGGTCGAGCACAGCGACGTGCCCTTCACCCCCACGTCACGGGCAAATCTTTAAAGGTCGGACAGCAACTCGCACTGAAGAGGATGTGGGAGCAGAAGCCGCGCTCACTGCTTGTGGGTCAGACGTGTCCGGCCACTTCGAAAGCAACACTTAGGCTTGTTGCAGATGGACGAGCGGCAGTTCCCGCTAAGGGCACGCCCAGGAGCTGCGGGCCCAAACCAGGCCTCCCCTACAACCTCCTAAAGAGTCTCTTAATTACTACTGTTCTGAGCTCAGCACAGACCAACTGAATCAGAACCCTAGGAATGGAGCAATTGTTAACCCCCAGTCGCTCTAAAGGGACCGCCCACCGTGCTGGGAAAACTCTTGCGCATGCGCACAAGCTGATGGTCAGAAACGACGCAGCGCGGCACCGTGGGTGACGGAGAAAGACCCCTTGGAGAGCACACTGTAGGACAGCAGGATGGAAGCTGGGGCCCGTCTTAGGAGGTTAGAATCCAGCGAGACCAGATAGTGGTGTGGACCAGGGTGGCGGAGCGCAGCAGTGGACACGGTCACCCCCCTCATGCTGTGTAGACCCGCAAATGCCACGGGATTGTGCGTGTGGATACACAAATAGCACGTGACGGTGTCGTAGATGCACAGACACCATGGAAGTGTGTGTGAAGAAATACCGCGGGATTATGAATGTAGACACCAAAGACCGCGGAATTTAGCTCCTGCAAAGACGACTGTGAGATGACGGGAAATCCGCCTTCTTCTGGTCTGGGATAATCGGAGGCTCGGACGAATTATTACTGATGTTATGAAGGTGATTTCTTAGCACAGTTATGACAAAGGCCTGCTGTCCCCCTCATAGCAAACTGCTCCTGTCGGAGTGAAATGATCCGTGTACACAAAGGTCCCCCTCAACCTCCCTCCCGTGACACGGCCCCCATGGGCCCCGGAGCAACCGTGTCTCCTCTGAGTGCCTCACCCAGAGGTGCCGAGTCCAGCGGGATCCTCCCTCAGTGGTGGACGGGACTAACAATAATTGAGCGCCTCCTGTATGCCCCACACTGTGAGCCCCTCTCGTCAGGTGCTGCCTCATCTGGTCCCTACAATATCATTCCCATTTCACAGATCAAATTGAGGCACCAAGAATTTAAATAATTCTTCCAAAGTCACATAGCTGGTCAATGGCAAAAACAAGATATAAACCAAGACAGTCCGACTTCAAAGCACAATCACGTCTTCTGTACGGGGACAGGTGTATTCGCCTGACTGCAGACATCTAACTTAATCTTTCGTTCATGCAATCGACAAATATTTCTTGACTTTCCTCTGTGTGCAAGACACCAGGAGAGCTGGGAAGGTGAGTCACACAGACCGGCCCCTAAGAACTGTGGGGTTACAAGTGAGAAGTTGGGGAATAGAAGACACTATTCTACCATAAAGCAGACGGTGGCAACAGCATCTGTGAACACAGTTTCTACACCAGCCAACCAACAGGACCGCACGGATGAGGCCCGGTCCTGGCAGAGACCAAGGCCTCTCTGATGACCGCACTGCAGGCCCGTGATGCTCCACCTTGCCTCCCACTGGACCCCCCCGGGCAGTAAAAAATCCCAGGGCCGAGGACCTCACATCAGAGCCTCTGGAGGGAACCAAAGCTGGAGGCTCCCGGGGGGCCCAGGGCAGAGCAGCGGGCCTGAGCACCACTGCTTGCAGGACAGACCAGATGCGGAGAGAGAAGTGGGGGTGTCTGAGCAGGTCCAGGACGCGGCTGTTTGCGTCAGGCCTGGAGCACGGTGCTGAGGGCACAGAGGCCCAGAGGCACTGGGCAAAGCTGGACCTGCCACCAAGTCTCGGGATGCTAGACCCGGCAGCGCCTGCCAGCCATCTCCCTGCGACCTCACCCTGCCTGGCAGCGGGATCTGCCCAGCACGAGGGCCAGCATGACCCCTTTGTCTCCGGAGACCCGTCCAGCGTGGAGGAGTTTCCAGCAGGGCTGGCACGGCCCCCAGACTAACCTTCCCATCGTCCCCGGGCCTATCATCCTCGTGGACCCCACACAGGCACACACTGGCACACACAGGCACACACATATACACACAGGCGCTCACATGTGCACACAGGCACACATTGGCACACACAGGCGCTCACATGTGCACACAGGCGCTCACATGTGCACATGCCCCATTGGTCCCAAGCTCCAGTCTAGGCAGTGCTGTGTCACCCTGGGGTGGGGACGGGGTGGCAGGGACACCGTGGCCTTCAGTCTGCACCGATCACCCTGGGGCCCCCACTGGGCTCAGGGGACCTCGCTGCAGCAGAGCTGGCCTGGGGAGCAGAGCACAGGCCAACTCCCTCCTGCTCCTCGCACGCCCTCCATTCTCTGGGTTGCGGCCTTGGAGAAACCGAAGATGCAAAGACTCGCAGGGGCTCCTGCCGGTCCAGCCGGCCACAGGCCTCTTCCCCAGGGATCTCACGGGCTCTGGCATGAACAGGGCAGAGGAAGAAGAGGAATTAATAATTTAGCATCTTCAACTATGATCAGCATGATTTAAAAAAACACAGTCAGGCCGCCCACGAGGGGATGCATGCTGCCCTAGACACCATTCCAGCGGGGGCCTCCCCGGCACCCCGTCCTCGCAGAGGCAGTGCCTAGGGGCAGCCGGGGCTCAGAGAGCCGGGGATCGGCCTTCCCGGGGGCTCCCAGAGACAAAAGCTTTGCCTCTTTCGGGTGAAAGCAGGGTGAGGCAGTGGTGGCAGGACAACCGCAGCACATTCTTGGTTCCATCACAGAATCGTCATGGGCGGGGACCTCTGCCCTGCTGCGCCTGCCCAGACCCAGCCGCCTGCTCGCAGCAGGTGCCCAGAGGGACACGTTGAAGGGAGGTCGAATCGGCTCGATTCCCAGCCCCACTCACACCTGCTCCCCAGGGTGGAGGCGGACGCACAACACGACTGACTCCTTCCCGTAACGCGTAATGTGAGCCGCCTGAGAGGACACAGGGGAATGAATAATGCAGAGGCGTCCAGGCCCCTGCCCCCGTCCCTGCAGGCTGAGGTGGCAGGACAGCTGGGAGACGCTCCGGGACATGCATCTTTTAAACTGAAAGCACCCGGGGGCTTTGCCTGAAGGCCTCGTGGCTGTGATGGCTCTAAGGGCCCCTGATGGCTCTAAGGGGCCCCGGCAGGAAGCTCCACGGCCCAGATGTCTCGGTTCCCGGTTCTCCTGCTCTCGTTCCCCGAAGGACACGTGAGGCGCACACGACTCCCCCGGGCAGAAGCGCCTTCCCGCCTGGGCTCTGGCGACCATGGGCTCAGCCCACGTCTCCTGTTTTAGCCAAACAGGCTGCAGAGTGTGGGTCTCGCGGCCTGGTGGTGGCCCTGTTGAAAGGAGAGAACCGCCCAGCAGGCCCAGCCCGCCCTCGGGGCCTAGGAAATACTGACAGGAGGCAGCCGCCCCAGGCTTCCCGGAACCCCGGGGACGGACAGGCTGAGCTGGGACGAAGGCACCCACCAGGCCAGGTGGTCAGAGGCCAGGCCACAGGCTCCACTCATCTGTTCCCATGAAATCCCACAGAACACGGTGGCCCCCGGGAACCCTCATCCCTCGGCCCACTCATCTTGGGCACGTTTTTCTACCGCAGCTGAGGAACTGAGGTTTGGCTTTTGCACAATCACGTCAGGCCTCGTTGTCTTCGTCTGGGTGGAACCCGAGAGACCATCTCATTTCATGTTTAATTTCATGTTTAAACTGTTCTTGCGTTAGCGGCAGGATGTTGTAATAGGTTCTACTCTCAGCCAAGGCCCACCCGCCCGTCTAAACACCCGCGGAGGGGATGGCCCGTCGAGAAATGAAAGGCCATGTGCTCAGCCCTCCTAAGGCTCCTCGAGGCTGAGCTCACGTTTAATGACCAAATTAGCAAATCTGTGAAGACCGTGGACAAGAAAACCCAGCTGGCCTGCGAATATGATCAATACCCCAAAAAGCAGCACAGGAGGGGTGCGGGGCGCGGGGCTGTGTCCAGTGATCGGACGGGACCCAAGGCCTGGGCGTGGTCCCTCCGTGACCCTGGATGGCTCTGCAGAGCATGGGCTTTCCCGTCGGCCTCCCGAGGGCCAGCCCAGCGGGGACCGCACAGTCTCGGGAGCCAACAGAACGTGTCTCCTGCGTGTCCTGCCCCCAACCGCCCATGTTGTCCATTCTCATCTGCTTCGTGCGTCTCCTCTTGACTCGTTGAGGCGTTTTTGTGATGGCTGCTTTAAAGCACCCGTCAGCCGACCCCGGCATCTGTGTCATGCTGGCGCTGGGGCTGTTGTGCTTTCTCATCCCAAGGGGGCCTTCTGGTTCTTGGAACCACGAGTGACTGTCCATCGTCCCCCGGACGTTGGGTGTCACGTTATGGACTCTGGGTCCTATTGGCCTGTCCGTTTCAGCAGCTTCCTCTGACACAGGCCTGCCTCTCTGCTGCCAGGCAGGGTGGGAGTGAGGTTCCCTCCCCTCTGTGGACACGGGGTGGGGGCTCCTCATGCCTGCTGGGTGGGGAGGGCCCTGTCCAGTCCAGCTTATCCCAGGGTCAGATGTGGCCTCGCAGCGATAAACGGGTGTGTAGGGAGGAGCAGAAGAGGATCTGATCTAACTCTCAGCAGATGCCGGGTCCCTCCCGGCCTCAGAGGACACACCTGCTCCCCGGGCTGGGCGGCACTGCTCGAGTGTCCACCACAGACACAGCCACAGCGGGCTGCGAGAGGCGCTCAGTCCCGCCGGAGCTGCTACAGCCCGACGAGGAGACCAGCAGACAGACGGGAAGCAGACAGCATTTCTCCGCAGCCTCTCCCACGGCGCTCGGCATCAAGACGTCCAGTTGCTACGCACTGACCCCCGTCTTTCCCGGCCGCACCTGACTCTCCTCCAGAGACCCCGGCCGGGACGGGTGAGTGCGCTGAGGGTGGAGGGCGGCCCCTGTCTCTCACGGGCCACAGCTCCACTCAAACATACAAAATCTCAGACAGGCGTGTCCTGCGAGTTTGGGATAAAGTGGATTTACACGTGTAAACAGTGGGGACTGACGAGCTGGTGTGAGTAGCAGGACAAAGCCACACAGGACCCGCCACAGCGAGGAGCAGAGAACAAGTGTCCCATCCAGACACCCTGGGACCCAAAGTGACACACAGGCTTTCAAGCAGCTTCAAAAATCTGGTGGCCACATGGAGATGAGAATGAAGGCAAAGTGTGTGTGCACGTATGTGCACATGTGTGTATATTGTGTGTGCGTGTGTGTGCACGTGTGTATGCACGTATGTGCATGTCTGTGTATGTACGTGTGGTTTTGAAGGGAAGAATACAACTAATATTCACATCACAATCTAGAGAGTCTGTCCCTCTTTTTTAACTTTATTGTCACCCTTTTCTGCTTGAATAGAAACTGCTTTTTTTGTGTTTTACAACTAAACGGTGGCCCTGAAGTCGTTCTGATGGCATCGCTCCAGGGTCCCTCCTGCACCGCCCTCCCCATAGGGGCCAGATTGCTAAGAAATCCCGCGGTGACGTTCTTGGGCAGTTATGTGTCAGCGGTGGTAAAGGCAGGCATGTCTTGTCGGGCCCTGGCCAGAGCACGCAGGTGACCGGGATCAGATGCTCAAGACCCGCTACCCTGTAGGGGTCTCAAGGCTGGTTTCCGAGGGGCCTGGGCCGGTTCGCAGTGTGGGGGATAAACACGGTCCGGATGACGGCTTCTCTGCAGAGGCCCTGCCCCAGGCCTGCAATGAGCCGCCTCATGGGGAGCCCCAAACAGGCAGCCAGACAGGCCAGCGGCAGCCTGAGGCCGAGCCAGGCAAGTGGCCGCTGCATTGGGGGCAGTGGGCAGCCCCGTTGTCCAGTCAGCACGGCGCGTCCCTGGGCCCGGGCGAGCAGGGGAGAGAGCTGGAGGCAGGACCGTTGTATGCCTCCCATGTGCCCGGTCGGGGGGATTGTACCTGAGAGACACCCACGCGGGGGTCCTGGGACCTGCGAGGGGACCCCGCACTGAGGAGCGGCCATGAGCACCTGCCTGACAGCTCAGGATGGCCCTGCACACCTTCCTCCCCCCCCGGGCCTCACGCACATGCACATGCACGCACACACACGTGCACACAGACACATGCACACACAGTGAGCCAGACGCGGAGACCAGCCGGGAGGCAGGAGGCTCCTCAGTGGAGGCTCGGAAAGAGCTGCCTGGAGCTGTGGCTGCCACAGGTCTGGCCCTTTAAGTCAGTGGCTGCAGGCAGGGTGGCCGCTTCTGGGCAGGGGAGTGGCTGGGTGAGCACACGGGCTGGCAGGGTGCACCAATGGGCAGGCAGCCCCGGGGTCACAGTGTGGCCACTGACTGAGCATCCGAGATTCATCTTCTCTATGTCATACTTCAAGTTTTAAAACGGTTTTTTTTTTTTTTTTTGAGAGAGAGATTAGCCCTGAGCTAACATCTGCTGCCAATCTTCCTCTTTTTACTGAGGAAGACTGGCCCTGAGCTAACATCCGTGCCCATCTTCCTCCACTTTATATGTGGGACGCCTACCACAGCATGGCATGCCAATCGGTGCCATGTCCGCACCCAGGATCCAATCTGGCGAACCCTGGGCCGCCAAAGCAGAACGTGCACACTTAACGACTACACCACCGGGCCGGCCCCTAAAACTTTTTAAGATAAAGATAAAGTGACTACAGGACTCTCAGTTGCCGTGTGTGAATGCCTGGGGCCGGCTCGAGGGTTACAGGGGGGACGGCTCCCTACAGGCTAGAGCAGCAGCTGGTGTCCTCTCCTGTCCCTGGAGGGACCCACCATCCGCCCCCCGGACAGGGAACTGCCACAGCACCTTCTGATATCCACATGGACCCGTCCCGCATGACCCCCACGCCCAGGCAGGTGAATCTCGCGCCTCATTGCGTTGCCCGGGCACTCTGCCCTGACCAGCACATGGCACAGTTGGCACCCCGCCCCCTCGAGTGCCTGAGCCGCGGGGACTCAAGAGAAGTCCTTTTAAGAACAGGTCAGAGACGCTCTCTGGAAATGAGTCCTCAGGCCCTAAATCACAGCCCCTCCCCTGGGCTGGCCCGTCCAGCCCCCCACCGGGGTCTCGGCTTCCCCAGCCGACATCCAGCTTAGAGTGAGCATCTTCAGGAAGCCGCTGTGACTAAACTTGGTTCTCCAGTTGAAACCTGAAGCTCTTGGGGCCATGGGGGTTGAGTGCTCGAGGGTTACAGGGGGGACGGGTGAGGGCGGTGGCCGGGCTGGTCCGCCAGAGGACGGGCTTGTCTGCGTTCCACAAGGTGAGGACCTTCAGACTCCAGCACGAGCTGCTGGGGGCACAGAGAGGGGACCACTCTCGGCGCTCAGTCAGCAAACCCGTCAGCCAGACCACACTGCCCAAGTCTGCCGAGGAGGTGAGTCAGGAAAGGGCAGAGAGAGGACAGCCGGGCGCCAGCCCAGAGAGGGTTGGGGTCGTAAGCAGGTGCGCAGGCTGGAGAGAGAGGCCCCGGCCTGCCCATCTGCCTGGGGCCCGGCAGTACTGTGCCCAGTTGCCATCAGCTGCGACATTCTCAGGACGAAGAGAAGCTGTGGGGGGGGCGGGGCGCTGTGGTCAGTCCACCCCCAGACCCTCACACCCGCCCCTCCTCCCAGAGACCCAGGCCCCAGCCGGCAAGGCAACCCCACAGGGACTGCACCGCTCAGTGCCTGGCCGATGCCGACAGTGGCGTCCCCACTGTGCAGGTGACCAGCTCGCGCTGGCGTGAAGGGAGCAGCTTCTGGGGACAGCAGTCAAGGAGCCAGGAAGCCCCAGCACCCTCTCTCTGCACAGCCGTGGCCCACGCCCACACTCGCCAGCCTCACGCCCACAGAAGAGCCCGCAGAGGGAGGCATCGTGGGTACATTCCACCCAGGAACCATCGTTGTCTCTTTTGAGTGAAATGGGGCAAAAGCAGTGCGCTGTCCACAGGCGGGGCCCTGACTGGGGCTGGGACGCCTGCTGCTCTGTGCCTCACTCCCCCTGCATCCCAGCCCTGGGCTCCGGCTGCTCACGGAGGCATTTTCGTCCCTGCAGGTGAGGGTGGGGGGCCCCTTTTCCTCCATGTCTAGGACACCAGACACATTCCTGACTTGGATGCGGGGGCCGCCTGCCCCCCGGGGATGCCCTTCATGTCGTCAGGCATCTGCCCGTCGGAGCGCCACACGTTCAGCTCCCCGAAGATGCCCGTCTCGATCATCTCCTCCTGCCAGGGGATGGGGCAGCTGCCAGTGGCGAACTCCTGGAAGAAGTCCGCGTCCGCTTTGTCAAAGGCCACGCCCCTGACCGTGGAGAAGGCACCCACGTCCTGGATGTTCTTGGCGTAGACAGTCCTGGGGTCCGGGATGAACGGGGGGATCAGCATCCCTGTCAGAAGACAGATGGCACAGCGTGAACCGCGAACGGCGGTGCAACAGCGTTTGCCAAAGAGCCGTGCCTGCCAGGCCACAGTCCACAGAGCGGCTGCCCGCAGCTCCCGGGCGGCCTGGTCCATCGGTGCCCAGTCCTGAATGGCTGAATGGTGCTATCGGGGAGCATGGCCCATGCGGTCCTGTGCGGCTGACGTCACTGCTAAGCTGAAGAGATGCCTGACAGGCAGATTGGGCAAGGAAGGGTCAGTCACCTAACAGAGAGCCCGCGGCCCCCAGACCCACGGGCGCCACCTACCGGCCTCGAGCTGCCGCCAGCTCAGGTCTTTGAAGAGGGGGTGGGCGCGGAGCCCATCACAGGTGCCGTCGCGGAAGCCCAGGCGCTTCTCGGGGTCCTTCTCCAGCAGCGCCTCACAGAAGTCCTTGCTGGCCTGGCTGAACTTGTCGGGGTACGTGACCGGCTCTGAGAGGATCCTCTGCTTGAGCTCCTTGTTCTCCACCTGTACGGCAGACGCGCCATACCGCGTTAGACCCCGCCAAACCCACCAACGTCGCCAAGCTGTCACTGCGGCTCGCGTGAGGGATGGCCCAGCCAGTGCCTCTCGGGGAGAAGCCTGGCAGAGGGGACGGCGGCAGCTGAGGGCGCCGCCCCACACCTCAGTCCTCGGGTCAGAGGGCACCCCGAGGCACTGGGGTCGGTGGATTTCAGGGAACCCTGGTTCACACCCCGGCACATTCACACAACCGATCTTTACCGGCTGGGGGAAAGCAGGACAACGATGGGCGAGGGGCAGCCTCACAGGGCCGACTGGAAGACGAAAACCTGAGGGCGAGCCCGGCGCCTGATTCTGCATCCTCTTCATGGGGTGTGACTCATGCACTGCAGAACTCCACGTCCAGTCACCCCAAAAGCGCCCTGCGCCCCCTGAGCCCATGTCCCCTGACCTGGGGCAAAAGCTGATCGTTTCCTCTGAGGATAGGTGAGCTTTGCCCTTCCTGAAACTTCACAGAGATGGAATTCCCCCGAGTGACTCTCGGGCCTGGCGGCTTTCGCTCAGTGTGGCGGGCTGAGGTCCACCTGGCTGGGGTGTAGCCCAGGCCCCTCGTCCTGTTGCTGCTGGAGTGGGGTTCCGTGCTCGATGGACCATGGATGGACCACGGACGGTCCACTGTGAGCTCCTGAACGGCGCCCCTAAAGCTCCTCTCGCTCGTTTACACACAGGAAGCAGGGGTGCTGGTCGGGCAGCGGGTCAGTGAGAGCCGAGGTGGGAGTTCCCATGGCGGCCCGTGGCTGGCTGCCTGCGCGTGACCAGGCTCCATGGCTCGTTTTGCTCTTCCGAGCTGTTGCTGGTTGGGAGGGAGCCTTGTCACCAGCTCAAGGCAGAGGCACAGGGTGACTCGGGGTGGAGTCCTGTGAGGACTCTCTGCTCTTGGAAGACGGGGGCTCAGTCTGTTCCCACAGCCATCTCAGGGGACGGGAGTGGGGGCCTGGGTGGGACACACCAGGAGGGAGGTCCAGGTGGAAGAGACAGATGGGCGTGACCCCAGACAGGCCGAGGGGTCAGGATGTGGGCCAGGGAGGTGCATCTAAAGGTCTGACCTCCAGACCCTGGAGGCGCCCCTCCTCACCAGCCTCTCCCTGGTTCACTCACGTCCCCGTCAAACAAGGGCCCTCACATCTCCCAGCTGAGTCACCCTCCGTCAAAGGGAGGAGGCCAGCTTTGCTGCGTGCCTTTTGAGCAGTGATCGGGCTGCAAAGAGCACCGATATGTGGTTCTGCTGAGCTGGGGCAGAGTACCCCCGGGGGACGCCTGGGCAGACGGACAGGAGAGGAACGAGGGGCGTGGGGAGTCAGGGGTCAGGGCACAGCCATGCGATGTCCACCTCCCTCAGGGACATGCAGAAGAGCTGCTGTGCCCGGGGCGGGGCCGGCGGCCCTTAGCATCCTGGTGGAGGGAGAGCTCCTAGGTCTGCACAAGGGCACCGAGGCCGTCGGAGGGGGTGACCTGCACCATGTCCTCCCGAGAGCTGGGCCCAGGCGGCTGGGCACTGCTCGTGGGGGTGGGTTTGGGGAGCCCCAGGCCCCTCTCGTCCTGAAACCCTCCTTAGTGTCAGGAGCTACATGAGATGAGGTCACCGTGTCGCCTCTCCTTCCGCCCAGGAGGGACCCTCCAGGAGAAGCCTAGGGCTCAAGATTTGAACAGCACCCCACAGGGAGGGTCATCTCCAGGCCAGCTGCAGGGACTCCTGCTCCTGTGACCCCCACAGGGAGGGTCATCTCCAGGTCAGCTGCAGGGACACCTGCTCCTGTGACCCCAACAAGGAGGGTCATCTCCAGGTCATCTGCAGGGACACCTGCTCCTGTGACCCCAGCAAGGAGGGTCATCTCCAGGTCAGCTGCAGAGACTCCTGCTCCTGTGACCCCAACAAGGAGGGTCATCTCCAGGTCATCTGCAGGGACACCTGCTCCTGTCACCCCAACAAGGAGGGTCATCTCCAAGTCAGCTGCAGGGACTCCTGCTCCTGTGACCCCAACAAGGAGGGTCATCTCCAGGTCATCTGCAGGGACACCTGCTCCTATGACCCCAACAAGGAGGGTCATCTCCAGGTCATCTGCAGGGACACCTGCTCCTATGACCCCCACAAGGAGGGTCATCTCCAGGTCAGCTGCAGGGACTCCTGCTCCTGTGACCCCAACAAGGAGAGTCAGCTGCAGGGACTCCTGCTCCTATGACCCCCACAAGGAGGGTCATCTCGAGGTCAGCAGCAGGGACACCTGCTCCTGTGACCCCCACAAGGAGGGTCATCTCCAGGTCAGTGGCAGGGACACTGGCTGGGCCACCTCCTACCTTTTCTCCTCGGGCTCGGAAGGGTCCTCTGGCCGCGATCATCTCATACAGCGTGACCCCCAGGGCAAAGTAATCCACGGAGAAGCCGTATTCCTCACCCCTCAAGAGCTCCGGGGCCATGAAACCTGCGGGAGGAGCACCGTGACTCAGAGACGCAGCTGCTCTGCATGAGCACCCACCTTCCCCCACGAGCTGTGGGACTGACGCTTCCACATGCACTGCAGGGGGCTCTTGGGCAGAAATCCTCGGCAGGGGGCTGCGCCGTGCACCCGAGGGTGTTGAGCAGCATCCTGGCCTCCACCTGCTAGTTAGCGCCCAGTTGTGACAACCAACGTCTGCAGACTCTGCTGAGTGTCCCCTCGGGGCAGAACCACCCTGGTGAGAACTGGTACTCTGCACACACATGTGAAGTCCCGTCTCCCTGTTCGGGCACCACAACAACCAACAACCAAGCCCCGTCCTTGCTTGCCTCCCAGGCAGGCGCGTAACCTGTGGGGCATGGGTGTGTATGGTCAGAAGCAGGTGCTATAAGCTGCTTCCTGAAAGGGCAGAAAGGACAGCTTTAAGCCACGACGTTCCAAAGAGCAGTGCAGTCGCCACCACTGCTCCGTCTGCCCACAGCCGGGTCTGTGTCACATCTGGGGAGCCAGGCCACATGCCGAGCTCCACATCTTGCAGGTCAACACCCCTGAGAGCAAGCTCAGGTCTCCATTCCCTAACTGCCCCCGTGTAGAAGCCAGCGCAGCATGTAGGAAGGGTGGATGGGCCCGTGGTCCCCTCCCTCGGGACCGGGGCTGGTGCTCTGGGCACGGGGGCCAGGGGGTTCTGTGCTCCGACGACTTTAGACATCCCAAGGTAAGCAGGGCTAATTGTGTCCGCTCATCCTGGCCCCTCCTGGTCCTTTGATGTTTCTGTGTTCATGGTAAGTTTCCAAGAGGCAGACGCACTGGGCCAATGACCGCAGCATCGTTTTTCCCCAGAGAGGTTACAGGACTGAGACTCCATGGACCCTCCAGCCCTGAGCACAGCTTTGTAAGTTCTGCTTTTCAGGGGATCACATTATGTCCAGAACTCCCAGACTCTGTGAGAAAGACGCGTTCAACCGACCACAACTAGACTGAAACAGGGTCCAAAGGAAAGTCCTGCCAGACCACGGGACGGGATTGTCCTCTGCTCATCCCCTGTTTACAGTCGGCTGCTCGCTGACCCAGGGCAGGGGCTCCGGCTCTCGGGGGCCTGGGGCCGGGCGGTGCAGAGGGCCAGGGAGGAAGGGTCTGGAAGGTTCCCCGTGGCTTTGCTGGATGCCCAGCCTTCAGTCGCACACCTGACTTGAGTATCTGCTGCAGCGTCTGACCCCAAGTGCAGGGCGCGTCCACTGGGCCCAGGCAGGAGAACCTCCCGACTGGAGAGCTGTGTCCCAGCCTCTGCAGAAAGCAGCTCGGCAACCACAGCAAAGCCTATGGGGCCCTCTGGCGGCCGCAGAGCCCTCATGCTCCGCCTATCCTCAAGGTCAGACCACTTCAAACCCTGCCCTTGGTGTCGAGTTCTCTGGATCACCCTGAAATATGTGAGTGGTTTTCCACTCACATGCTCTCTCCCAGGGGTGGAACTTCATGGATTTTGGCCGAGGATCCAGGAAATTCAAGGTAAGACCTTTCCCTGAATGCAGCCGCAGATGAGGACAGAGGCACCATGCCAACAGGTGCAACAGGTGCGCCTCCAAGGAGCCCAGGGCACAGGGTTAGGAGGACTCCAGGACGCAAAACAAGATCCGAGGGGCCCAATTCCGGCGGCAGCACTTTCTTCCCAAAGCAAATCAACCCGGGGAAGGAGGTTTGCTAAGAAATTCTAAGAAGCCCCCACCCACTGGGAGTGCAGGGGAGGGAAGAACCTACGCCCGGGGGGTGCCTGCTGCATGCGTGAAGCAAGAACTCGCTGCACTGAGCACTCAGCCCGGCCTGTGCGTGAGACACAAGCATGCACACACACATGCTCAGAGACACATGCACGCACACACAGACTCACACGTGCACACATGCATGCTCTGGACGAGGGCAGCCCCTTCCCCTGAGAGGACCCCCCCCCGCCCCACACTCCATGCTGGACTCCCTTGGACAGTGAAGGCCTAGGCCACGCCAGAGATGGGGGCCCAGCATTCCTTCCAGTCGGCCCATCCAGGAGAGTTTTATTACAGTCGAGCAGGTGCCTGGCACCGACCCTCAGGGCTCTGACCCCCTCGGTCCGGCACTCTGGACCAATACATCCCGCTGATGCCCGGAAAACAGTTAAAGGTGGAAGCTTTCACCACAGGGGGCATGGTGTGTCACACCAATAGTAGTATTTCACGTGGAGAGGGGTGCAAGGCCATGGAGCAGCCGCGCAAGCCCCCTGGCCAGTGCCCCTGGTCTCACCAGTCGCTCTGAGCAACAAGGGAGCCACTCCCCTACCACCCCCAGCTCTCCCTGTGGGTCCACCCGTGGCCACAGGGACCCCAGGGCCCGCGCCCCGAGAGGCTGCCCCGCCCTTGCTCTCAGGCCTCACCTGGGGTCCCCGCATAGCCCTTGGTCTTGGTCTGCCCGTCCTTCAGCTCCACGGCCAGCCCAAGGTCGGAAATTCGGATATTGCCTGAAAAGCAAACACAGGCTGAGGTCATAGGCGGCTCCTCGGAACAAAGGCACCTCGTGTTCCCAGAGCCACGGGACCTAGAGCCAGCCTCCGCATCCACGCACACATGCACACGCTCACACACACGCTCACGCACTCACATGCAAACGCTCATGCACAAGTGCACACACACACACCCCGGAGACCCTGAGGCCTCAGCACCCAGGTGCCTCCCTCCCCGTCAGATGGCAGAGGGGCTGAGGGGTCCCAGCAGCCACTGGAATTCGGGGCATAATGCCCCCAAGTCAGCTTCCTCGTCCGCCCTCCCTCCCCCAGCCCCACAGTGACGGCCCCTGAGAACGCCTGTGCGTGTCGGACTTGGTGACAGAAAGGGGGTCGAAAGGGACGCACAGGAAGCCCAGATCTCTACGTTCATCTTCTCATCAGAATCCCAATTTGACTTCACATAGAGGCAGAAAGACAAGAGTGATAGAGTGAAGATTTGGCCATAAAATATTAACTGCTTACTAATAGCCCCACACACTACAGACCCTGCGTTAATTCCCTGTAACCCTAGTGCCTAATATGGACCAAATTTCACCAAAGTCCATCAAAAATCTCCCTTTGGAGACGATACCGTTCTGTCACAAAACGATTGAATGAACAATACACTTAAGACGTGTCTTGGTGCTGTTTAAAGCTATGCCGAGCATTTCTCAAAACCAGCCCATCCCCCACGACCCATCAAGCCACAGAAAGGAGCAGAGCAGGGCAAGGGGACTGAGAGGGGAGGCCACCTCACCGTCGTCGTCCAGCAGCACATTCTCAGGCTTGAGGTCTCGGTAGACGATGTCCCTCTGGTGGAGGTGCTCCAGGCCGCTGATGATCTGGGCCGTATAGAAGACCGCGCGCGGCTCGGGGAAGCCAGGGCTCTCCTCGTTCACGTTGTAGATATGGTACCTGGGGGCAGACCGTGCGGAGGCCCGTGCGTTCTGGGCCCAGCTCTGAGTGCTGCACCCGCGGTTCTGAGGGGAAGCGGCACCTCAGGGACATGGGGGCCCTCAGAATCTGCATTGTCGGGAAAGCGTCCGGTCCTTTCAGGGCCTCAGCGTCCAGCCTAAGGAGCCCACGGCAGGCAGTGCAAAGACCCCTGGCAGCGGGTGTCCACACCTCACAGACTCCTCGCCACCGCTGTCGCAGGGGAGGAGCGGGGCCACAAAGTGCACCCCCTACCCCTGCCCTGGCCTGCGGAGGCCACAGTGCCCTTTCACTGCCGCCCGCAGGACGAGCAGGGGCCGAGGAAGCAGGGCAGGCCGAGCGCCCTCCAATACGCGTGGTTCATACAGAGCGCCGGCCACTCCACCCGAACATCAGAATCCTGTGGACCGGCGGCCGGACGCCCCTCCCCAGCGCCCCCTCCCCGTAACTGTCGTGTCTCAAGTTCCCACTATCATGCATCACAGAGAAGCAAAACCTAACAAATAAAAGGAAATTAAACTAGAACAACCTGGGAGAGTAGAGGTAACCAGGAATCTAAATAACACCAGGAGAAACTCTCAAATCAGCCGGAGCACAGGACGGCAGGAACAGCAACCTGACAGCTCGTATCACATCCATGTAGTAGTGGGATGCGGTTGGTGTGGTGTCGCCATCATCTCTGCTCTAAGTCCCGCCATTAGCACTTCCCGACCTTCTCTTCCACCGACCTTCATGGGTTCCCTAATGAAGCTCTCAGAATCCTCATCAGGAAAGGGGGCCAGCAAACTGACCTGGCAGAGTGTTGTGGAGATGAACCCAGAAGGGAGAATGGAGGTGCGGGGCCTGGCAAATAGCACCACAGCACTGGCCCCCTTCTGTGTATGTGACTGACACTTTTCCAGGGCCCTCACAGGCACTAACTTCTCCCCACAACAGCCTTCGAGCACCGGTGTTATGCTTTATCCCTGTTTTAGACCAGCACACAGAGGTAAGAGCAGTCAGGTGGCCCAGCCATCGAGTGGGCCTTTTCTCAGCTCTGAGAGCCAGTGGTACGTGTCCCACAGGGAGCCGGGGCCAGGCCGCAGATCCACAGCAAATGCAGCACGCGTGGCACTGACAGCCCTGTGCTCTCTGCCGGGTGATGGCAAAGCCGCAGTTCCTGAAGTTGGCTGCGTCGTGTTTCCGGCTCTGCGGTCATCCCCAGGAGTGGGCCGTGGATGACATTTGTCTTCGCTGACCATCCCTCTCGACACAAGGCCCCCGCTCACCCCTTTATTCATCTGCCCGTGCAGCCAGCACTCGACCCACAGCACCACACACTCCTGCTGCCCACCCCACTCAGCCCTGCGTCCACACAGCCCCGCATCCACACAGACCTATGTCCACACAGACCTGCGTCCACTCAGCCCTGCGTCCACACAGCCCCGCGTCCACACAGACCTATGTCCACACAGACCTGCATCCACTCAGCCCTGCGTCCACACAGACCTATGTCCACACAGACCTGCATCCACTCAGCCCTGCGTCCACACAGCCCCGCGTCCACACAGACCTATGTCCACACAGACCTGCATCCACTCAGCCCTGCGTCCACACAGCCCCACATCCACACAGACCTATGTCCACACAGACCTGCACCCACTCAGCCCTGCGTCCACACAGCCCCACATCCACACAGACCTATGTCCACACAGCCCCGCATCCACACAGACCTATGTCCACACAGACCTGCATCCACTCAGCCCTGCGTCCACACAGCCCCGCGTCCACACAGACCTATGTCCACACAGACCTGCATCCACTCAGCCCTGCGTCCACACAGCCCAGCGTCCACACAGACCTATGTCCACACAGACCTGCGTCCACTCAGCCCTGCGTCCACACAGCCCCGCGTCCACACAGACCTGCACCCACTCAGCCCTGCGTCCACACAGCCCCACGTCCACACAGACCTGTGTCCACACAGACCTGCACCCACTCAGCCCTGCGTCCACACAGCCCCACGTCCACACAGACCTGTGTCCACACAGACCTGCATCCACTCAGCCCCGCGTCCACACAGACCTGTGTCCACATAGACCTGCATCCACTCAGCCCCGAGTCCAAACAGCCCTGCGTCCACAGGACACACCGACGCCTGAGGCCACCCCCCCGGGTGCATCTCACACGGGACTGAGCACTAATCGTTTCAAGTACCAGCCACCAGAAGACAGAGAGAGGAGGATCCCGACTGGGGCACAGGCTCTTCCACAGATGTCGCCATGCTCCGCAGGGGGACGTGGCCCCGTGGGGCCCCCGAGGTCCCCTCTCCAGCTCGGCCACTCGAGCCTTCCCAGTCCCGGCTCCCACGCTGGGGAGAAAAGCCCACTTACCTTATGTCGCCCCCATTCATGATGGTCATCACCAGACAGAGGTCAGTTTTGGTTTCAAACGCATAGGCCAGAGAGACTATAAACCTGCTGTGCACTTTTGCCAGAATCTTCTTCTCCACCATGGCACCCTGGAAAGCAGGATGTCGGGTAAGAACACAGGTGTAGGCAGGAAGTGACATCGCCATGAAAGACGAAATAGAAAGTTGCAAATCCATTTCAAGTGTGGTTTGCACAAAGCAACTGAAGTAACCTAGACACGCTCACTCGCCCCACGGCCCAGACAGACGCGGACACGCAGACAGGCCATGCTCACAGGGCTTCAGGTCTCCTGGAGCCCCCAGCCAACTAGGCTGAAACGCCAGGCAGGGCTCCCAGCGTGTCCCTGGCAGCCTGTTCCATGCTGACGTCTCTTCCAGTTTCTTCCTTACGTCTAACCAGCTTGTCCTGCTGCAGCCCCAGCCCTTTCCTGCTGTCCAGGCCTCCGGACAGCAGGGGACAGCAAGGTGCGTGGCCCCACATCCCCCAACACACCCCGCATGCCTGCTCAGTTTCTACCTTTATTTTCAAGCCTCATGAGGTCCACTTGATATGAATTTAGAAGTCGTGTTTGGGCAAGGAAGGCAGATCCCCTCCTGACGCTGGGGAGGCCCCTCTCACCCACATGGCACCGGAAGATTCTAGGCTGGTGCCACGCGGTATCAAGTTCAACGAGGACAGTGAACTCGGAGCAAAGAGACGGCAGCCCTGACTGTTGTGTCAACATCAGGATGGACGGGCATGAGGGGGAACTGTGCCCCCCAGTCCCACAGGAACGGCACCTGCGAGGAACGCCGGGTGCGCGCCGCCATCCACCCGGAAAAGCTGCGTTTGCCATGGACACGGTCTGAGCGGTGCAGCGGGAAGGGGACAAGGACCGTGCGGGACACAACGTGCAGCTGGGGGATGAGGCCCGAGACGTTAAGCAGCTTTCGCTGATCCCACCCAAATGGAGTCCGACGCCTTAGAGCGGACACCGCGGGGCACCCACCCACGGCTCCACTCCGTCCCATCCCTGACGACGGCTGCTCTCGGGGGACAGCCTGTGCCCGGCGCCACAACAGGCTCTCCTCACAGGGAGGACGGACCCAGCCCTGGCTCCAGCCCTGTGTGTTCTCGTCATCCCCTCACAGGGGCTTTGGGAAAGTGCCAGAAAGTCAAAGTCAAGAGCCCGGAGAACGACCCGACACCGGCTGCTGCATCTCGTCACGTTGGTGAAAAGCCGAGAAGGGGACGAACCGGAAGCATCACCCACAGCCACAAAGGCAGAGGCCGCTCTCCCAGAAGGGGCGTCAGCTGACCCCATCTGTGCGCAGGGCGCCAAGCCCAGGGGTTAAGAGCAGCCAGGCAAGCTGAGTCGCAGGCCGGGAGGACCCCAGAGGCCAAACCACGCCGGGCCGGCTGCTTGGCTGCAGCGCACAGACCAGCCGACTCAGACAAGGAGGCACAGGTGGCCTGGAAACCAGCTGAGGCTGCAGGCAGGAGAGGCTCCAAGTCAATGCACATGGTGAGCTGGCCAGCCAGCCGAGGAGCATGGCACAAGCTGGACAAGGCCCCCAGGCCCCACCCGGAGCACTGCCCCCCTGCCCACCCTCGGCCCCGCGGTGGCACCGGCTGCCCACCTGGTACCCCTTCCTTTTCTTCAGCCTCTTCTTGTTCAGCTTCTTGCAGGCGTAGATCTTGCCAGTCGCCTTCATCTGGCAGGCCCACACCTCCCCGAAGCCGCCTTTCCCCAGGACCCGGAAGTCCAAGAACCAGTCCTCCCCTGTGGGCTGGGCCTCCAGCCACTTCCACTGCAGGAACCTCTGGAAGTGCAGGCTGTCCAGGTACTCCTGGAAGGGCGCCCGGCTCAGGTGCGCCAGAGTGGCCCGCAGGAGGGGCTGGAAGAGCCCATCTCCACTCGCCGAGGGCCCCGCCCGGACCTGCGCCACCATCTCCTCATCCAGGAAGCTGCAGAAGAGCTTGGCCTGGGGGTCCAGGTACTCCGCCAGGATGGCCTGGGCCTTCTGCGGCCGGAGGTCGTCGTCGGCTGTGTCGTAGTCCTCGATGTCCTTCCAGAGCTCCAGGGCCGGCACGTGCCTCTCGTCGGCCCTCAGGAACTGCTGGAAGAGCCGCTTGCCGATGGGCTGCTCGGAGCACAGGCCCCGGAACTCTAGGTCCAGACTCTCACGGAGCCCCTCGCACTTGGAGAGCGGGGGCAGCCTGAGCTTGGACAGGTACCTCCTGTCCCGGGTGGACGGAGCACTGCTTCCATCGATGCTGCCCCGGGCAGCGATGAAGGCGGAGTTGGCCACCACCGTCTCCAAGGACCCGAAATCCATCCCGGCAGCTCAGGCGTGAGGGGCCATGGGCCGGCCCTCGGCGCCCGTGTCCGCAGCGGACCTGACCCACTGCCCTCTCAGGACAGGAGGTGCCCCGGCCGGTGCGAGGATGGTGGGGGCCACGCGGGGGCCCCAGGGAACCCACTGACGCAGCTCGGACTAAGTCCCAGCCGGGTTACGGAGGACACACTCAGCGCGGAGAGCAGGGGCCAGAAAAAGACAATCCCCTAAGCGGCTCCCAGACGGATTAGACGGCCCGCCCACGCTGCTCTGTCCTCAGACAGCCGCTGTCTTCTGGCAGGAAGGACACACTCAGGCCCCAGACGCACGGCGCTGCCACCCCAAAGCTGCAATCCACAACGCGCGGCCCGGTCTGGGCCTCCGGCCTAAGCAGACGGCTCGACTGCCCGTTTGTTTCCTGGCAGGGACAGAAGCCAAATCTAAGCAGGGGGACCCAGGAGAAACCCTAAATTATAAAGATGACAGGTGGTTTTCCCGCTATGTTTAGTTTTTGTCTTAAAAAAAAGCAAATGAGAAGAAAACCAACTGATAACAGGAATTTAGAGAGAAAAAGACACAGTGAACAGTTTCCTGGGGCGTCCGCAGGTGAGACCACTGGCCGGGAAACTGGTCAGTGTCTGAGGACCGACATCTGTCCTGACCTGACACTGAGAGCAGCTGTGTCCCATGTCACAGAGCTGATGGCTCTGAGGACCAGGGCAACCCCGGCACTTGCTGTTTCTCCCTTCACCTGGGCATGCCAGCCAAGCAGAAACGCCCCAAGAAGCAGTGCAGTGAAGCAGGAGACCCCGGCTAGGCTCAGAGGGGGAGGGAGGGGAATGAAGAGGCCAGGACACACCTGGGGCACACCTGGTGCACAGCTGGGGCACAGCAGCGACAGAGCTGGGGCACACCTGGGACACAGCCGGGACATACCTGGGGCACACCTGGGACACAGCTGGGGTACACCTAGGGCACACCTGGGACACAGCAGGGATATACCTGGGGCACACCTGGGACACAGCTGGGGCACACCTGGGACACAGCAGGGACATACCTGGGGCACACCTGGGACACAGCTGGGGCACACCTAGGGCACACTGGAAGCACACCAGGAACAGAGCTGGGGCACACTCAGGGACACCTGAGACACAGCTGGGGATGCCAGGACCAACGGAAATGTCAGCTTCGTGAGGGCACAGCCTTGTCTGTTTGGCACTCAGTAGGTGCTCAGGGAAATGTAAGGGAAGAATGACAAGGAAGTGATGGGGGTGATGACAGCTTACAAGGGGAGGAAGTAAAGGGTTGTAGAAATGAAGAACTCTCGAGCCAGAAGAGGCTGGGGGACCATCGGGCCCACCTGCTGGTTCCACGGTGGGAGGAGAGGAGTGGCCCAGAGGCAGCGAGATTCTGCAAGCGGGTGCAGGGAGCCGGGCGGGTCCTCTGCAGGGACTGGGGAGGCAGAAATGAGAACATGCCAGGTCAGCAGCCAGGTCCCCCCATCTCCAAACCAGGTGGGTTGGAGTCCAGCTGGGCCACTCAATAGCCCATGACTTTAACCCCTTCCTGCCAACCCCATCAGGGTTCAAATGGGACAGTGGTTCCCATGTGCCTTGCAGAATGGGGTCCCCGCTGGCATTTCCCACAGTGTCCTGAGTCAGTGCCTCCCCACCGTCCAGGCAGACAATCTCCTGGAGATCTGGCTGAAATGAAGATTCTGCTTCAGTGGGTCTGGGGGGCAGCCGAGAGTCTCATGTCTCACAAGCTTCAGGTGACACTGTGACGCGGGGCAGGACCACAGTGAGAAGCGGAGTCTGAGGGGCACGGCTTCCATGGGATGGGCACCGAGCCGCATCCTGGGCAGGGGGAGCACCCGGACAAACAAAGTTAAATACGTTCCCTATCGTGGGCTCGCTCAGAGACATCAGAGAGAACTCGGCTCTCTAACAGGGGAACAGCAGGCAGTGTTTCCTAGACACCTTTGGATTTTTTTAAATCAAACATTTTATTTGGGGATAATTGTAGATTCATGTGCAGTTGTAAGAAATAATCCAGAGAGACCCCGTGTACCCTTCACCCAGTCTCCCCCAGTGGCGACATCTTCCCAGACGGTAGCTCAGGAGCGCAGCCAGGACACTGACCCTGACACGGGGAACACAGAGCATTCGGTCACCACGGGACCGTTTCCCCTTTACGGACGCACCCACCTCCGCCCCTCCCCTCCCCACACTGACCCCCGGCAACCACCAGTCTGTTCTCTGTTTCCATAATCTTGTCATTTCGAGAAGGTCCTATAGATGGAACCAGACAGAACTTCACTTTGGGGATTGGCTCTTTTCACGCAACATAAATCTCTAGAGATTCACCCAGGCTGCTGCGTGTTCCAGCTGTTTGTTCTTGTTACTGCTGAGTTGTTAGCGTCCACGGTGTGGACGGACCGCTGTTGGATCATCCACCCACTGAAGGCCATCTGGGTTGACTCCAGTTTGAGGCTATCATGAATAAAGCTGCTATGAACATATAGATTTTTGTGCAGATATAAATTTCCATTTCTCTGGAATTAATGCCTAAGAGTGTAATTGCTGGGTCGTACGGTATTTGCACGTTTAATTTCTTAAGAATCTGGCAAATGGGGCCGGCCCCGTGGCCGAGTGGTTAAGTTGGCGCACTCTGCTGCAGGCGGCCCAGTGTTTCGTTGGTTTGGGTCCTGAGTACAGACATGGCACTGCTCATCAAACTGTGCTGAGGCAGCGTCTCATATGCCACAACTAGAAGGACCCACAATGAAGAATATACAGCTATGTACCGGGGGGCTTTGGGGAGAAAAAGGAAAAAAAAAAAATCTTTAAAAAAAAAGAATCTGGCAAACTGTTTTCCAGATAACGGTGCCATTCTCCATTCCCACCAGCAACGTGTGAGTGACCCAGTCTTTCAGCACCGTCACCAGCATTTGGTGTTGTCACTATTTTTTATTGTAGCCATTCTGAGAGGTGTGCACTGGGATCCCACTGTGCTTTTAATGTGCGGTTCCCTAACAGCTGACAATGTTGACACCCTTTCACGTGTTCATTTGCCGTCTGTAGATCCTCGTTGGTGACATGTCTCTTCGTGCCTTTGACCACGTTCCAAGTGGACTGCCTGCTTCTTTGCTGTTGAGTTTTTGAGAGTTCTTTCTGCGTCTCAGATGCCAGTCCTTTGCTGGATTTGTGGTTTTCAAACACCTTCTCCCGGCTGTAGCTTGGCCTTGACCCTCTCCATGTGGGATCACACAGAACAAAAGTTTGCAATTTTACTGAAGTCCAATTTATCAATTTTTCCTTTTATGGATTATGCTTTTGATGTCAAGTCTGAGAACTCTCTGCTTAGCCCTAGATCTTGAAGATTTTCTCCCACGTTTTTTCTAAAAGTTTTATACTTTTACATCAAAATTCATCACCCATTTTGAAGTAATTCCTTTACAAGGTTGGAGACAGGTTGAGGTTCGTTTTTCACCCACAGACGTCCAGTGGCTCAGCCCCACTCGTTGAACAGGCTTCATGCAGCCTCTTCGGCACCTTTGTCAACAACCAGTTGGGCGTATTACTGCGGGTCTATTTCCGGACTTTCTATCCTGTTTCGCTGGTCTCGGTGTCCGTCCCTCCACCAACACCACACTGTCTTGATTGCTGAGGCTGCACAATAAGCCTCGAAATTGAGTAGACTGAGTCTTCCCGCTGCATTTCTCTTTTTCAAAAATATTTTCAAAAAGACATTTCAAAAAACTATCTATTTAAAATACAGAAGAAGATACCTATTCTAGTGCTTTTGCCTTTCCATATAAATTTTAGAATAGATTTGTCTATATCTACAGAAAAATCTTGCTTGTATTTTGATAGGAATTATGCTAAACTTTTATACCAATATGGGGAGAACTGACATCTTTGCCACATCGAGTCTTCCAGGTGTGAACGTTAACATGCGTCTCCATCTCTCTAGATGTTTAATTTCCTTTATCACCACCGTGAAGCGTTCAGCACACAAGTCCTGTCACATTGTACGTATTCCTTTCTGTTTGGAGCAACTGTAAATGGTGGTGTGTTTTTAATTTCAGTGTCCACATGTTCATTGCTACCACATAGAAATACAGTTGATTTTTGGACATTTTTCTCTCATATCCTTTGACCTTGCTGAGCTCACTTATTCTAGGAGTTTTTCTGTAGAGTCCTTGGGATTTGGTACATATACAATCACGTCACCTGAAAATAGGGATGGTTTTATTTCTTCCTTTCTGGGCCGGATGCCTTTTGTTTTCTTGCCTGCCACAGCAGCTACCACATCCAGTCCAAGGCTGATAAGCATGCAAACAGAAGAAACCCATGCCTTGCTCTCGATCTTGGGGTCAACACATTCCAGTTTTTTACCATTAGAGATGATATTAGCTGTAGAGTTTCTGTCAATGCTTTTAATCAAGTTGAGTAAATTCCCCTCTACCCTTAGTTTGCTGGGAGTTCTTAATCATAAAGGATGTTGAATTATTTCAAACGCTTTTTCCACATCAGTTGATATGATCATGTGATATTTCTTCTTTAGCCTGTTAATGTGGTGGATCACACTGATTGATTTTTGAATATTGAACCAGCCTTGCATCTCTAGAATACAACTCATTGCATCACAGTGTATAATGCTTTTTATACAGTGTTGGGTTCAATTTGCCAATATTTGGTTAAGGATTTTTGTGTCTATATTTGCGAGGGATATTGGCCTGCAATTTCTTTTTTTTGTGCTGTCTTTGTCTGGTTTTGTCAATTTTATAGATCTTTTCAAAGAACCAGCTCATTGTTTCACTGATTTTCTCTTTTACTTTTCTGTTTTTAATTTCACTGGTTTCTGCTTCTATCTTTTATTTCTTCCTTCTGCTTGCTTTTCTTTTCTCTTCTTTTTCTAGGTTTTTGAAGTGGGAACTTAGATTATTGATTTCAGACTTTTCCTCTTTTCTAATATATTCATTTAGCGCTATAAGTTTTCCTGTTAACACTGCTTTAGCACAAATTTTGATGTTATATTTTTGTCTTCATTCAGTTCCATGTATTTTTTAATTTCCCTTTTTCTAATTTCCTTTTTGACTCACGGGTTATTTAGAAGTGGGTTATTTAGTTTTCACATGTTTGGAGATTGTCCTTATCTCGGTGTTGTTAATTTCTAGTTTGAGCCCATTGTTGTTGGAGAACACATTCTGTATGATTTCAATTCTTTCAGATTTGTTGAGCTTTATTTTGTGGCCCAGGATATGGTCTATCTTCGTCTATGCTCCACACATAAAAGGAAAGTGCATTCAGCTGTGCTGCGTGGAGTAGTCAACAATGTCAACAACACTCTGTTGCCTCCCGATGTTGTTGGGTTCGTCTATACCCATGCTGATTTTCTGTTTAGTTGTTCTATAAATTGTTGAGAGAGAAGTGCTGAAGTCTCTAAAATTGTGGGTTTGTCTATTTCTTCTTTCGGTTCTATCAGCTTGCTTTACTTATTTTGCAGCTCTGTTGTTTGGTGCATACACATTGAGAATTGCTATATCTTCTTGGTGGATTGACCCTTTATCATTATATAATGTCTGTCTCCAGTAATTTTCTCTACTCTGAAGTCTACGTTATATGATATTAATATAGCCACTCCTGCTTCATTTGGTTAATATTTGCAGACATATCTTCTTCTATCTTTTCCCATTCAATCTGCCTATGTCCTTATTTTTAAGGTGAGTTTCTTGCAGGTAGCATGGAGCTGGGCTGTGTGTTTTAATCTACTCTGTCAGTCTCTGTCTTTTCATTCGTTTGCTTGGACCATTTACGTTTAATGTAATTATCGATACATTAGGGCTCAAGTCTATCATTTTTCTGTTTGTTCTGTTTACATTTCTCTGTTTGCTTTTTCCTGTGGGTTCCTTGAACACTTTTTTAGAATTCAATTTTGGTTTATCTATAGTATTTTCGAGTGCATCTCTTCATGTAGCTTCTTATTGGTAGCTGTAGGCAGTACACTACATATACATAACATCACATTCTACTGCTGTCATTTTATCAGTTCCAGTGAAGTACAGAAATCTCACCTTTTATCCTCCTCTGTTTATAATACAATTGCCGTAACTGTTTCATCTACATACATTTAGAACAATGTCAGGCAATGTTATGAGTTTTGCTTCAACCATCAAATATAATTTAGAAAACTCAAGAAGAAAAGGAAAGCCCATAGTATTTACCATATTCGCTTACTGTGTTGTTTCTTCCCTCCTAATGCCCCAATATGCCTTCTTTTAACATTGTCTTTCTGTTTTGAGAACTTCCGTTAGCCATCCTTTTAGGATAAGCCTACTCATGGCAAATTACCTTCCTTTCCTTTCCTTCATTTGAGATGTCTGGATCCCCTTCATTCCTGAAGGGCATTTTTGCTGGAGTTAGGATACTAGGGTGACAGTACCTTTCCTTCAGCATTTTGAAAGTACTGTGCGACTTCCTTCTGGCCTCTGGTTTCTGATGAGAAACCTTCTGTCATTCAAATGGCTTTTCTCTGGCTGCATCATAGATTTGTGTGTGTGTGTGTAATTTTCAGAAGTTTAATTACAATTCATCTTGGCATGGATTTCTGAGGGGTCATCCTATTTGGGGTTCATTCAGCTTCTTGAATCTGTAGGTTTATGTCTTTTGCCAAATGTGAGTACTTTTCAGCCGTTATTTCTATGAGCAGTTTTCAGCCCTGCCTTCTTTCTTCTCTCCGCCAAGGACTGCAATGACGCAGACGTCAGATCTTTATCACAGTCCCCGGGTCACTGAGGTTCTGTGCATTTCTTTGCCGAGTCTACTTTCTCTCTATTGTTCAGATCAGGGCATTTCTATCATCATTTCTGCCATGTCAGTGACTCCTTCCTCTGTCCCCTCCTTTCTGATGTTGAAACCATTCTCTGAGCTTTTTATTTGGGTTATTGTATTTTTTTAATCTAAAGTTTCCATTTGGTTCTTCTGTTTCTTTCCTTAAAGGTATTTCCTTGCTCAGGCTTTCTAGTCCCATTCATCTCAGGCATGCTCACAAACGCTCACTAAGCATTTTGTCAAGGCTGCTTTAAAATCTCTCTGAGATAATCCCAGCCTCTCTGCATGCCGACGTCAGCCCCCATTAACTGTCTTGTTTTCACTCATTTTGAAATCTTCCTGGCTTTTGGTCTGATGAGTGATTATCAGTAGAAACCTGGAAATTTTCCTATTACTTGTTCCTTTGGTTTTAGCTGGCTTTCTCGGACTCCACTCCAGGAGAGCTGACTCTCTCGGACATCCCTGCCAGGTGGGGGTGGAGGTCTAGGCTCTCGACTTGGCAACCTGGGGTGTGCCCCCACCTTGTCTGGAGCCCACTCCTTATGGGGCATCGGTCCCACATTCTCAGAGCACACTGTTGGGGAAGCTGCCCTCTGCCAGCGTCCTCGCCCTGCCTGTCTCCCCACCGGCACCTGTCCCGAGAAGGTCGTTTTGATAACACGTGTGCAATTCAGCACATACTTGCACGCTTCTGGGAATCCAGAGACTAAGTGGGGAAGAAGTCCAGAAAGAATTCACATTTTGCTCATTTCAAGAGCATCTCTGTACTTCACAGTCGAGGATGGCATTTGCTGCATGGAGAACAGCTGCTCACTGTGCCCTCAGGCCCTGGCACACCAGGTCCCTGGCCCACAGGCTGTGGACATCAGCCTGCAGCCTGATGCCACACTCTGTGTTTTTGTTGCCCTAAAATTCCAAAGTCGTGAATGGGAATAGTGTTAAGGAAAATGCATAGTATTGGTCCATTAAGAAACTAGGAGTCCAAGCTAAAAGGGTGCGATTCCATCTGAATTTTCGGGTGCTCACTTTGCTAACAAATGCTAAACCATCCTAAAGAAAATAAGGCAGAATAATGCTAGAGTTTTCATTATTCTTCCTCTCAAAGAAACCTTCAAATTTGGCTACATGGGTCCCTCAGAGTGAAAGCCAGATGTGACAGCGAGTCAAGTTTTAGATTTTTGTATACAATACCCATTGTTTTAATCAGTTTTGACGAGATATTTGTAAAAAAGCTTCTGTGGCATGTTGTATTCACCTGGCGTTGTCCTTTCAACCTAATTACAGAGGCAAACACGCTAGGGAGCAAATGTCACAGCCCCAGCTATGTAAACCACCAAGGTCTCTCAGTTCTGGTCATGAAACAAGACAGTCTGGGGGGCCTGTAGCTGTCCAGAGGCTCAGGCCACCGGCAGAGCAGCTGGCTCAGGAACTCGGGGGTGGCACAGGAGTCAGAGGTGTTCAGGTGTCCCAGATGACACCCATGAGCAGTCGGCCGAGCAGCCCAGCCTGGACATGGCTGTCACCCTGCAGCTGGGAGCATGGCCCATAGGATGCCCAGGCCACTGGGTCCCCTGAGTCAGGATGTGCATTTCACCAAGACCTCTCGGGACTGCTGTGCATTCAGTTTTGAAAAGCACCTCCAGACTATATGGCGTTGAATTCCTCTATAGACACTCAGAAGGGGTAAAGGGCCCCCTTCCCAGCCCAACAGCGGGTCTCAGGGGACATCATGCTCATTGCCGAAACTAAGTGCCTAGAGTGGCAGGAGGTGAAGGCGCGACCCTCTGAGCCCCTGGTCCAGAGCAGAACCCCGGCCCTGTTCTCGCCCGTCGGATGCTTTCTCCCTGGGGGGCCACTCAAGGAGCCCCAGCAATTGCGTTTTCGTGATCTTGATCCTGCTGCACAGGGTCTCAGACCAGGAAGTGTCTCAGCGGCCGTCCGAGCCAGTTCAGGCCCGTCCTCGCGCTGACCATGCTCTGTATATCCTTCTTCCTGAAGGAAGGAGAGAAGGGGCAGAGGTGAGCGACTGGCTGTTCATGCAGGAATTTCTCCTTCGTCGTTATCAGACAGATAAATTTCTGGGCAAGGGCATCCAGGGAGGAGGGGCTGGCGCCCTGACTTGCCCGGGGGAGAAGGTGGAGGGGCATCTGATAGTGGGGACCTGCCAGAGCGCACAGGGGACCCGCCCAGCGTGCTGTTTGGACGGCTGGGGTCTGATAACACGGCCACAGCGCTTTCCCGGGCCCGTCTCCACGACGCCCTTGACCTCCGATGGGGGAGACTATAAAGCCAGAGGAGGTCTTTCTCCTCTCAGTCTGCAAGTGGGGAGCAGCCTCACCCTGCAGGAAGGGGGCCTCCAGCAACAGGGACGATGGCTGCGCTGCAGGAGAAGAAGTCGTGCAGCCAGCGGATGGAGGAGTTCCGGCACTACTGCTGGAACCCAGACACGGGGCAGATGCTGGGCCGCACGCTGTCCCGCTGGGGTATGTGTGGCGGGCAGGTGGGCAGGCAGGGGCCGCTCAGGGGAACGGGGCCGAGGACTACCCAGCAGCAGCTCAGGGCCGGGATCCAGGTGCCCAGGACCCAGCCCTGCCCCAGCTTCCGGCCAGGCCTCACCTCCCTCACCAGATGACCCCAAAGGCCCATTTCGGCTCTAATATCCCTGACAGCAGGCGCCTTCGAGGTGGGAATGTCTGAGGACTGGCCCCAAAGGTGCCGCCTTAGATTTGAGAACAGTATTTTCAAAGTCATGTTCCTAAAACTTAAAAATTTTAGAGCGACTTTTAAGTTAAGGGGGATAGGGTTTCTCTGGGCGTTGGGAATGTTCTGGAACTGGATAGAGGTGACGGTTGAACAACAGAGTGTGAGTGCACTGAACACCGCTGAGCTGCTCGCATCAGGACATGAGATGGGGAGCTCACGCTGCGTGTCCCCATGATTGAGAAGCGTGTCGGACCCGCCTCTGCCCGCAGTGTGGATCAGCCTGTACTACGTGGCCTTCTACGTGGTCATGACCGGACTCTTCGCCCTGTGCATCTATGTGCTGATGTGCACCATCGACCCGTACACCCCCGACTACCAGGACCAGCTGAAGTCGCCAGGTAACAGGGTCGCCAGGTACCGGGGCCACCAGGTACAGGGCCGCTGGGTAACGCGGCCGCTGGGTATTGGGGGAGGGGGTGGGGGGGGCGGGGCTCGTGCCTGGACACAATGACCCTGCACCGGGCTATGCCACAAAGTCAGAACACAGCACTCAGGAAGGAAGCCCAGAGCCCACGAGGGCCTCCGTGCCACCTGTGGCAGGCCCAGGGCTTCAGGGTTACAGCGGGCGTGGATGGCTCCTCCGCTGCCTTTGATGAGGCTGATGACCCCGGATTATAAAGTCTGCCTTTGGGTTTAGTTTAATCATCAAAACAGAAGGTTTGATTACGGAGACAGTCTTTACAGCACTTCCTTTACACACTTACAGGCCACAGAGAGCGCTTCCGGGAGGCACACGAGAGGCTGCCCGTGGCGGACTGGGGAGCGTGTGCCCGCTTCACGCCCCTCGGCTCTGAGGCAGCTCTCCTGGGGCGCACTCAGAACCCCCGGTTCTCCCCAGGGCACTCTGTCCACAGTCCTGTTCCTCAAGGGAGCGTGGGCTTAGGCTGAGCGTCCGCTCTCCTCTCCTGAGTTGGCCCCAAAATGACAACAGGACTCTAGGGCCTGAGACCTGGAGGCCGCAGCCCTCAAGCCCAAGGGAAGGCGGTTTACCCAAGACGATCGCATGCGGCCCGTCTGCCCAGAGACCAGAACACAGCCCAAGGCGGGTGCTGCCCCTCCCGGCACCCAGCAGCTCAGCGTTTATCATCTCGGTAACAACCCAGAACACCCGCAGCGGGGTCGCTGTGACCCAGGGAGGAAAACACAATCCACAAGCTAAGAGAAGGCAGCTCAGACGGGGGGCGCACCCACACTTCCCTCAGGCGGGCGCCCCCGGGTCGTCCTCTAACAATCCTGACCCCAGACGGCTGTGCCGGGTGACAGTTTTCAGAATCAACCAACAAAGCACAGGATTTCACTGTAATTCCAGAGCAGAACGTGACGTATCACAAACTTGAGAACGTGACCATGATGTATGATATGCCTTTCAAAACCCAGAGGATGGAGGGCAGGCCAGGTGGTCACGGGAGGCGGGAAGGCGCCAGTTGCCAGCTGGTGAACGCGCTACTACAACACGAAGAGGCCGTGGGGTGTGCCCAGACGGCAGTGGAGAGCTGGCCCTTTCCTAAATTTAGACCTTTCTGACGGCTTTTACTTTAAACCACGCACAGCTGTCACCGTCACAGCATCCATCTAAACAACAGATCCCTCACTCACTTACTTAGGAAGTCACCCGCAACAACTGCGCACTGGCCAAATAAACCGCGCAGCCTTCCAGAACAACACACGACGGAGCAGTCGTGGGAAGGAGGAGAGTCGGGGGAGCCGCTAGGGAGGATGAGGACCCACGTCGGGAAGTGAGGAAGGCGGGCCAGGCACAGTGCAACCCAATCACGTGAAGGAGACAGGACACACATCTCTGCATCTGGAGTCACAGAAACAGGAAGCTGAAGGATGCACCCTAGACGTGAGGTTGGGGGATCCGAGGGCTGCCGCGTCAACACTTGTACACGTCGACTCTTCCTGTTTTACAATTAATAGGTTGTTAGGTTGCTTTTTCACTCAACCAACACCAGTCACGAGTTTTCCGATGTGCCTTCAAATACAACTTCACTGGGAGACCAGGGTTAGACCCTGTGTTGAGTTGGCATCTGCAGAGCGAGCGTGGCCACCGGGTGGCGCTGGCACAGGCCTCATGTGCACAGGGAGCCCGCCCACCTCAGGCATCGGACAGGCCTCGGTGCTCCGACTGCATGGTTCCCAGGTGGGTGGGCAGGGCCCCGGGGCCTCCTTGTGGTGCAGAGGGACGCCTGGCCACAGCCTCCTCACCTGGGACCTCTGAGAACCAACCAGGCGCAGCCTGGACCACAGCATCCTACATCTACATCCCACGCTCGCCTCCAGGCTGGCATGGCTCTTGGGCCACCTGCCCATGCCATGGTGAACAGCGTGGATGTGGTAAACATTTGGGGAAGCTAAGGAGGAGTGTCACGCTCTCTTCCCAGGGGTGACTTTGAGGCCGGACGTCTACGGGGACAAAGGCCTGGACATTTCCTACAACATCTCCAATAACAGGACCTGGACAGAACTGACACTCACCCTCCACAACTTCCTGGCAGGTAAAGTTTAAAATGCTTCCACAGTCCTATTCTTTCTTTTTCTGAGAGAACGTCACCGCAGGACGTGGGTGTCGCCGCCCTCTAGACCACGGTGGCGGCTGCGGCTGGAGGCAGTGCCCTCGTGTGTCTGTCCCCACAGGCTACTCGCCAGCATCCCAAGAGGACAACATCAACTGCACCTCCCACAAGTACTTCTTCCAGGAAAGCTTCAGGGCCCCCAACCACACCAAGTTCTCCTGCAAGTTCACGGCCGACATGCTGCAGAACTGCTCGGGGCTGGTGGACCCCAGCTTCGGCTTTGCAGAAGGAAAGCCGTGTTTTATTATTAAAATGAACAGGGTGAGCAGCGAGGGGTCCTTGGGAGATGGCTGTGGTATGGGGGTCAGCCTTCTCGTGACCGTGCACCCTCCTGTCCAGGGCTCCAGGGGTGGTGGGGCTGGACTTGCACAGCTGCCCCTCCCCGCTCTGCACCTCCCACAGCACAAACCTGTGGCCTTGGCCACTGAGGCTGCGTCTCTCACACACAAACTGAGAACCGCCCGTTCAGACACGGCACTCAGGGGGCCGTGGCATCTGGACGCCTAGCAGCAGAGCACAGGGCTGCTCAGGGTGGCCGGATGCCACGTGTGCACAACAGTGAGACAGAAGCCAGGCTGTGTGCGGGTGCTGGAAGGACACCTGGGAACTGCCCAGAGCAGAGGTTTCCAACCTGGGCCCGGGGCCCACCAGGGCTGGACACGCAGGGAGGCCGACCGTGAGAACAGAGCCAACTCAAGCAAACCACAGGAGGGCATGGTCCTTTAGCCACCCGGGTGCAGGGGAGCAGCGGCATCTTGGCCCAGACCCGAGGAGGGGCGGGATCTGGCTGGGGGAGGGGACCCGCTCCACGCTGACCAGCAAGTGCAGCCTGGAGGCCAGGACCTCTGAGCGCCTGCGTGGGGCACCACTGATACTCCTTCCTGAGGCCTAGAGGAAGCCATGCAGTCGTGCACTGCACACGCGTCCCAGGCCCAGCTGGGGGCTCATTAGGGCTGCCCAGCAGGTGTGAGAGCAGCTCACCTGCCCAGAACAGGAGGGCTGTGCACACCGGGAAGGTGTGCGGGGGAGGCAGGCGCTCTGCTGGCCCTGGGAACAAGGAGGCACAACCGAGGGCCGGGATGTCAGGAGGCGAGAAAGGCATGAACGGGGAGACAGTGGGCCGGAGAAGTCTGCCCGGGTGCCGTGTCAGTGCCCGCAGAGCGCCTGGGAGCGGCAGCCTCAGCTCTGACACTCCTGCCCAGCTCGCCAACCCCCAGCGCCCAGACCTCAGCCCTGGGGCGGGGCTTCTGGTTTGAAGCAGGAGCTGGCGACAGCCGCCAGGGTGACGGGGACAGGAACCCCCCGGACCCCTCCCAGGGCCGGGAGCCACAGGTCCCTCTATGCTCGGCTGACATGAGAGCTGCCAATGCCTTTCCTTCCAGATCGTCAGGTTCCTGCCCAGCAACAGCACAGCCCCCAGGGTGGACTGCGCCTTCCTGGTGAGTGCGGCCGCCCGTGCCGTCTCCTTTACGTGAGCAACCTGCGGGGGTAACTTCCCTGGTTTCCCTAGAACGTCTCAACTGCAGCCTCATAACCAGACACACGATCGCATGAACCACCACTTCAACAGTTTTATTACACAGGCTCAGCACCCAGGAAGAGAACAATGCTCCTTAGTTATTGTTTTGCTTCAAAAAGCATCGGGGACAGGACATCACTAACTTCAAAATGTTTGGGGCAGTGTGGAAAAGCCAAGGTACCTCCTGGTTTTGACCTTTTATTTGCTCATTTACAGAAACGTGCCGGACCACAGCAGCTACAGTTGTTTACAGTGTGTGTACACAGGCCACTAAGAGCTGGCATTAATTTATCACAGTTTTCCTCAAGTCGTTTTTAAGTACAAGACGAAAAAACTAAATGTCTTCACTGAATATTTTCTAAACTTTATTTTCACTGTTACACCCTCAACTGTTGCCTCTGGCAGTGGGCGCCCCACACAGGGATTCCACACACCAGACCCCTCAAAGCAGGGAGCTCCCCGGGGCGCAGGGTCCGCCTGGCACACACGTGGGCTGACTTGAGATTTTAGCAGACACCAGGGTTCCTTCATCTGTTCTTGACAAGCTCCAGCTCTCCATCAGGCAACTCACTGACTCTGACAATAAAATGAAACAAACCCCACGAGCGCATGTTGACCTCACCCCAGAGAGTAGCCCACACAGCTCTTCCCCACCGTGCGAACCAACAGGCACGTTCTTGGCTCTGTCCGCCTTTATTATCCCACAAGGACTCGAGAAGGTAAAAATGCAAGCTTGAGAAGTCACCAGGGGTGCTGCAAACTGACAAACTGCACCCCTAATGGGATCTTGGTGCTGACTGTGAAGATGAGATCTGGTTTACGGTAACTGTGCAATAAAGCGTTTACGTGGTCACCTACACAGTGCACACACATGCGCACTTGCACACAAGGCACACGCATGCACGTTATACACAAGCAGGCACATTAGACACATGCAGACACACACACACACACCCAGATGCTGCCTTCCTCAGGCGGTGGTCTCTGCCCCCAGGACCAGCCCCACGGGGACGGCCGGCCCCTGCAGGTGGAGTACTACCCGCCCAACGGTACCTTCAGCCTGCACTACTTCCCCTACTATGGGAAGAAGGCCCAGGTAGGTGTGTCTCCCCTTTTCCCAGACAGCTGCTGCTGAACCGTCTCAAACTCAGCAACAATTAGCACAAGGAAACACTCGCCCCACAAACGTGAATGCAAGGAATCGCTGAGCTCACCTTGACCTCCAGTGCTCTGGTCTTCCCAAACCCGCGTCCCCATGATGACCTGAAAACACACCACTCTCACAGAAAATGCTGAGTCTAACTCTTTTAGGTTCTGAGGGCCTCCCAATCCTTTTAGGACCGTATATACATTTCAAAGCATTTCCTCCAAAGCTCTTGCTTTTCTGTTTTATTTTTATTTTTATTGTCATCAAATACAATTTGGAGCTGTTGCTGGTACTGTCTGTCCCCTCCAGACCAGCCCTCCTTGTGGTGAGGTGGGGAGACATTTATCCCAGTGGGGGCGGGCATGTGGCAGGCCACGTGCTGGCGACACGTCACTCAGGTCTTACAGGGACGGAGCCACAACAGGGTCGCCCCCGGGCCACCCGTGCGTCGACAGTTGCCACGAGGCCCTAACATGTGTGCTCTCTCCACACGCCCTTCTCAGCCCCACTACAGCAACCCTCTGGTGGCCGCCAAGTTTCTCAACGTCCCCAGGAACATGCAAGTCGTCATTGTGTGCAAGATCCTGGCCGATCACGTGACCTTCGACAACCCCCACGACCCCTATGAAGGGAAAGTGGAGTTCAAGCTTAAAATTCAGAAATAAAGGAGCAAGGAGGCGCCTCACAGTCCACCCATGGGCCCCCAGGCCAGCTCTCCAACGCTGACCACCACAGTGCAGTGCGCTGCTAACCCACGGGCACAAGCACGTCAAGCACTTGACATCAGAACCAACTGTTTCTCATTAGATCTTTGCTATTTTTCAGATGGAATTTGTAGCTTTGATAAGCATGTTGGCTAACGTGGCCACCCTAAGGCAGCAGCTGTCCCACTGACAAGACCCTACAACGCTTGTCTCCCCTATCCAGTCACAGCTGTCCTCACTGTCATTTATTTTTCCCATGTCGATAAGCTACCACCCACGTTAATATAAAGACCATTAACGCGTTACCATGAAACGCGACTTACAAGTACACTCTGAATGCTTGCTTTAGAGAATACGACTCCTAAACTGTAAAAATGACACATATTAAAGTCACTCTCGCTCTGCGTGGAACAGTCCTGTCTTTCCTGATAAGGGGAAAAAATTAACTAAAAAACCAAACACCTCTTTCCTTAAAAATCTCCCATTTAAAGATTCAATTGCAAGTCGGGGAAATCACAGGACAATACTGGAAGGCGTCCCGAGTACATGGGCTGGTGAGGCGTGAGGGTGTCGCCCCGTGATAGAGCCAAGGACAAGGGACTCACAAAGGGTGGCCAGTGTCCCGCTCACAGCAGGTCCCCCAACCCAGACATGCGGTCTGCAACGCTTGCCCCTCCGGAAAACCCGGAAGGAGAACATTCTGTCCAAACACACAAATGGCCTCAGCGTGCACAGCGGTTTCTCACCCAAACCAGAGCGTGAGGCCTGGTGTCCTGACCCCGCTAGCACCAGCGCCACGTCACTGCCACAGAGTGACAGAAATGGCTCCGTGCAGCCACTGGACAAGAAAACCCATCTACCCTAAACGCCAGCAGCCCCAACACAGACTCAGGAGAACAGCAACCCCGCGACTTTCTGCAGGAACGCTGAATCCGCGTCCACTGGGCGTCTCCACCACGAAAGACACTGGGGAAAACGGCTCCATTGCTGACCCTCAGTAAAAACTGCTTGAGGCACCTCAGAAATGTCATGTTATGTCAGAGGTCAGAAGTCAGGCCACCTCAGAAATGTCATGACCCACCAGAGGTCAAGCTACTTTAGAAATGTCATGTCAGAGATCAGGTCAGCTCAGATATGCCATGACACACTGGAGATGAGCGGTGAGGCCACCTCAGAAATGTCATGTTATGTCAGAGGTCAGGCCACCTCAGAAATGTCTTAACACCCCAGAGGTCAGATGTCCGGGGTCTGGTCACTCCAGATGGGATGACTAGTCCACACACATCAGGCTGTACTGGCTGACCTGGTGCCAGGCCGCTCCTACCGATGGTCCATGTGGCCAGTACTGCTTCCCATTTCACTGAGAAGGAAACAGGCCAGCAGGCCTGAGCCTGGCAGGGAGGGGCCAACCAGCCTAGGAAGGGAAGGGCACGTGAAATTTCAAACCCGCTGCATCCAGACCACAGACTCCCCTAGGAAAGGACTTCAGGGAGTTTCCCTCAAGTCAATGTTGAAAACACAGAATGACCCAAAGCCTAGGGGAGGCGTGGCACAGGCTCTAGGGTCAGAGGTCAGAGGCCCAGGTTGCTTCTCCTCCCCAGCTGACCTGAGCCATTCTGCCTCGTACCAGCATCACCAGGGCACTGGACACATGCTGGCACAGGTGGGGCACACGCCAGCACAGGCCGGCACACAGAGGCACATGCTGGCACACACCAGCACAGGCTAGCACAGGATGGCACACACTGGCACAGGCCAGCACACACAGGCACACGCTGGCACAGGTAGGGCACACGCAGGCACAGGTGGGCACACATCAGCACACACTGGCACACACCAGCACAGGCGGGCACAGGTGGGTACACGCAGGTGCTCAGACACCCAGGATCACTGTGGTGCCAACATTTGCAGAGTCAATTCTTGGCACAAAGAGTCACCAGTCTTCTTGTTTTTAGAAACCCAGCACTCAGTGTTTTAATCCTTGTAAAATGTGACCTTAGCAAACACACACATCCCCTAAAGGTCACACAACACCATGGGGAAGTCAAGGACCAAAGGGCACAGGCATGGATGCCCTCATGGGGGACGCTCTCAAGACACAGGATGAGATAACCGGGCCATGGCCAGCCACTGACAAGGAAGAGCAGGTGAGAGGAATCGCCTGCCCAGGCATCTTTGAGCAACCAAACCAGCCACAGGGTGGACCACAGCCCTGCTCGCCCACCTCCAGCCGACACACCCCCAGCCTTTCTGCGGTCACTAGAGCCCTTCGCTGGTGGAAAGTTGGTGCTACTTCCTCCCCGGCCCTTCAGAACTGGCTGCCCTTGCACGCGTCACCGCCTTGCACATGTCACCTTGGTGGGACTCAGCTGGGAGACACACCCAGCCCCACCCAGGCACAGTGGAGTGAAAGAGGCAGCAGGGACTTAGTGACCAGGGGCCGAGGCTGAAGACGCGGGGCTGGCTGCGCGTTCACCCACAGGGCACTCTGAGACTGTGCCGCACGGCGCCGTGCCACAGCCCTCAGGACGTTACAGGAAGTCCCCCAGGAAGGAGCATGTGCTGCCACTTCCTCCTGTGGGACATCTGGCCCCCGTATGGCATCCACAGCCTTTCACTGAGACATCCACTGATTCACTCAGCCAACTCCAACAGCCCTAACTCTCCTTCCCCACTTGCAAACTTAGTCTTTTTCTGAAAGTCAAACCCATCAAATCTGTCTCGACTCCCAGGTTCAGAAGAAAGGCAAGGAGCAAGCTCTCCCCACCTCCAGCCACTGGGGAAGCGGCCTCACTCTGGTCAGCGTCCACTGTGACCCCTTCCTTGGCCTCGTCCCTGGGCAGCTGCTGGACATGCTGAGGGCCAAGGTGGGTCTGGCCACCGCTCCTGGGCCTGGCAACCTCTCCTTGCTCCAGCAAAAAGCCAGACCAACAGTGTAAAGTAACTTCTAGACGGTCATCCTGAATTAGAGAAACACAGAGCTTGTTTAAAATGCCCATGCGAGTTTTATTAATAAAAACTAACAGTGCCAAGTTAAACAAGTCGAACAAGTAAAGTCTCTTTATATTCCATAAAATATTACAGAAAAGTTTATTTGTGTTTCAATAAAAAGACTATTGTTTTAGAACAGGCAGCTAACAGCAACTGTGCAGTTAATGGTTCTTGGTGAATAAATTTTAAAAGAGACTACTGCCTGTCCCGAAATTCCTTTTTCCTTTTATAAAAAAAGAACTATTAAAAATGATTGACAAATTTTGAGTTAAAAAACTGTTAAAACATTCTCTATATTTAATTTCAACTTTATAATAGATTACAGGAAGATGCTGACGAAACAAATACAACATTTGTTTCCGTACGTGTCTTTAAACCATAGACTTATAAGTATGTAAACAACTATATAATAAAAAGTCTCCAAACGCTGCCTGTAAGAAATCAGGCAAATTTTACCATAAGCAACAAACACCCCATTCCAAACCTCCAGACAGTCCTCCTGGCTGCACCAGCGCGGCAGGACATTTCCCAAACAAAACGAAAACAAACAGAAATGAGACAGCTTCGCGATTTCTCTGCTGTGACACAGCAAACACGCATCACCTCGATGGAATCGCACAGTTGATATAACTTAAGGGAAACAGTTATAACGCAAGTTGTGGCGCCTCACGCGGATGCAGACGAGCAGAGCCCTGCCCTTCGCTCAGCTCCGGGACGCGGCGCTGCGGAGCCTCACTCCGCCAGCAGGGGCGCCACTCACAACGGCTGCAACCAAGCGGCTTCCGGCTGCACGGGCACAAGCGACAGGACGGCGTCTGACTTCGTTGATGAGCGTAGAGCACTTCTTCAGTAAACTCAGCAAGAATCGTTAAAGGGAAAAAAACAAACTCCAAATTTAAAAAAATAGAAAATGAAAACACAAAATCCTACACAGTGAACAGGCCCTGCATCAGCACACGGCACCCAAACACACCGCGGGCCACCTGCGATCCTACGGAGACACCCTCGCCTGCTTGTCGGAGACGCACGTCCAACTCAACAGCTTACAGCGTCTTCTTGGGAGGAGGCCAAAAGGAAACAGAAAAACCCACGCTAAAAAGTGTTTCTCCTGCACGTGTTCCTGAAGCTGGAT